TTCCGAGTTGATTGCTCTCAGCAATTTAGTTGATACTTGAGAGGCATCTCCGAAAGAAAAATGTTTGTTGAGGGTCAAGATTTTCCTTTTTTCTGCCAAAAAAAAAATTATTCCTCTGAAATTAATATTTTTTAATATTGAATTGTAATTGGTAAATATATAATATGATAAAAACAGCGTTGCCACGCATTTCACCGTTACTCACCGTATTATATTCGCTAGAGAAAAATATTTGCATATAAAATTATTTTACATAAATGGTTAAGCAGAAATGTCTTTTTCATTTGAAGTTTCTTAAGGTTAATTCACCTTAATCAAATTTTTATATAGTATCTAAGGACAGTAGCAAACAGAGAAATTTACTGATTTCTTAAAAAAAATTGTCATTATTTGCTTATATTCATATATGGGCCGTCTTTCTATACTTCTTGAGAAATTTTACAAATGCGAAATGTAACTGAAGTTTTCACGTACTTGCAACTCTACTCAATGAACAAATGTGTAAGTATTTATGTGTTAGGTTGGGTTGTGTGAAAGATTTCCAAATGGCGAATCCCACTTGTAGCAGTCATATTTTTTTTTTTGCTGAGTGCCAATTTATTGAAAAAGTCAGAGATAAGGTCTCATAAACGCAGTGCCTGCTTTGAAGCAATGAGAATAAGCTATACTTTTTTTAGACTTAACTTTTTAGACGAAATCTGCTTCTATAACAGATCTATTTTCAGGTATCTAAAAAAATATTTTCGTTTAAAACGGTGGTCGTCATTCTTACACGTTCAAACGTTTAAATTTTGAGAGTGAGCGCGGCTTAACTGTCCCAGTGGTACGTTTTCAGGTCCTCTACGTTTTTCAGTTCAAGCATAATTAAGACCGTCACTGGTTTCCTTTAAATCGTTTTTGTATTGAAATAGTGAGCAAAATATTTTCAAAATCTTCTGTCCCAACTAACAACACAATTATTTATAATTTTACTAGTTCTGTAAAAAAAATTATTAATGAGATATATAGATAATTATATTTTTAATTGTGAACAATTAACAACTGATATATCAAACAAATTACATATATATTTAAATGGTATACAAAGGAAAAATCTCATTCTCACTCGATATTAAATGGCATATGAAATCGGTGGTTTTTGCTTCATACATATGTACATACATACATGCGTAAATTCCCGCGTCTTGCTCACTGCGTAGTCAGAAAGTAACTGGCACTAGTGAAGGGCAATATTTTACTGCAGGTGATTTTTTCACTGGGATTGAAAAATTCAATATCGCAACTGCTCTCACTTTTTGTAAATAGCAGTTCATCGTCCTATGAATTGCGATTGCGATAGCAGTTCTCAATAAACTTGGAAGCACGGAAAAGAGCAATACACTAACAATGGCTATATTTTTGGATCCGAAATTTAAAACATTCACCTTTTCTGAGTCTACTGTAGCAGATATTGTAAAAACGCATTACTGCCGAGATAAGTCGAGAAATTCAAACTCATCAAAATGAGCAACTTACAGCCCCAATACCTTTTGTATCGCACCTCTCAATATCGAGTAAATCTTATCGAAGTTCAGAAGAATTTGAAAGGTGAAGTCATTGGCCTATCAGAAGATTCGTTGCAATGGTGTAAAACAAATAGTTATATGTACCCGTACCTGTCACCTGCTTAGAATCATCAGTGTATTCTGAAAGGTTATTTTCTATGGCCGGAATAATATAAAGCGAAAGGCGAACGCGTTTGGGCGATGAAAAGGCTAATGCTCATATTTTTATATGCTAATTTTAAAAACATGTTTTCATTATATAAGTTTAGCCGTCTTAAGAAGTAACTAGAATTTTTAATTGCTTATGGAAGTTTTTAATTTAAGTTAATTATATTTTTAATTTATTTATTGTATAAAACAAATTTGATAATTCGTTATTTTAGTTGCGACCGCAATAACATAATCACAGGGATTTAAAAATAGCGATCACTGAAATTCACAAATATTGAAAAATCGCAACTCATCACTAATTAACACTGTGATAGTTTTTACGGTATAATAACTGTCACAAGTCTCTTTGAAACACACGTATACTCAAAGTGCACTCAGAGAATGCCCGCGGGCTATGGGCTGCCGATCACTGGTTTAAAACATGAAACTGTAACTTTTTATTTGGATAATATTTAGTGAACACTAAGCAATACACCCTCCATAGGTCATGCAATTCTACTTAGCAGAATATCTCAATTAAGCGTGTGCTCATTCCAAATATGGAACAAAATTATTTTAGACTTCAATCTATTTGGAAGCAATATGTTAGGGAGGTCATGTTCTAATATACTTTAGGACAGTAGAAGACAATTATAACTCATTTAAAGTATCTATAACTACTAAAAATTAGCTTTGTGAGTATGTTTATCTCAATGGTTGTTATCTGCAACTCACCAAAGCAGACCAAAACCAGTCAAACTTCTATTAGACTTCAGATGCAACTACATGAAATAGAAAAATACTTTCAAAACATGGTATCAGTTTCTTCATTTTTCAAAATTTGTATACTTGGCAAAAAATTAATTTTATTTATTAAAATGGACTTAATTTAATTTACATCAGCTTCAAGTGTCAATTAGGAAACTTTGCCTGTTTGCTGCTCCATTCAAGCGAAATATAAATTTAATTAAGCTTTCAAATAGATTGCCTCCTCCTTGCAGCCGGCACTTACATTCATAGGAATTTCTTACGAAAAAGTGAATGATATTTCACAAAATTTCAATTTGGTGTCATTTGGCCTTACAAGAGCTTATTGCGTCAATTTTCTATCCGTTCATTTGTCCACATATTCCTTCTTAGCATTCAGATCTGCATGTATGTAAGTTGGCGAGTATATGCTTTTACGTTTACACTTACAATATGTATTTTGGTCACAGCTCACCGCCTCTTGAAGAAATTAAAGACACTACAAGTACTCATCGGGCACATATATACCACAACGCTTCCTCACACTTCCGTCAGTTGCAGGGAAACGGATATGAATATGAATTATGAATTCATTGGCCAGAAACACTCTTAGTGCGGAACTAATGTGATAAGTAAGAGTGTTTATTGTACTCAATATTTATGATGAAAGTGATGCGTTACATATTAATACTATACTGGGGTCAATCGAGTCAGTTTGGCAAAAAAAGAATTGTATTGCTTATTAAGAATAACCCCGACAGTTTTCCATAGAGTAATATTCTTTGGGCAAATTAAATAGAAATATTAAAGGGCTCATGAAATAATTAACATAATTCTTAAACAAGCTCCTAAAAAAATGTTTGAATGACTTAGATAAAGATTTTCGGTACAGTACATTTTAAGTTAACCGATCGTAATCCCGCTTTATGTATTTTCGAATATGTACACATGAAGAGCATACTCGCATATAAAAGGTTTTAATACTCTGATCAAGGTATATTAAATTTGCTACGAAATTTGTAAGACCCAGCAAGATACCCTACCCATTCGTCCACATTAACGTTGTTGCCTTTAATATAGTCCTCCCTCCAATCATCGAAATACTTCTCAAACTCGATTTTTGGGATAGTCTTTTGCTCCTTTAATGATTTTCATCGTTCTTACAAATAGGAAAAATTCACACGGAGCCATGTCTGTCTGTCTCTCTGTATATACGCGAACTATTCGATTTGAAACGTCCATTTCTCTCCAACAAGCTACTCATTTGTCGGAAACGCCAATATCGGACCATTGTAAGCTATACTCATTGCTGCCATACAAACTGACCAATCAAAATACAATTGTATGGCAAACTTTTTTTTATTTGAGAAGATATTTTGACAAAATTTGGCAAAAATTATTGCTTAAGGCAAAGATATATGTAATCTCATCACATATTATATAGTACGGACCACTGTAGCATACTGCTGCCATACAAACTGACCGATCAGAAGAAATTTTGCAGGTTAACCTTTTTTCTTGTTTTTTATTGATAGAGTTTTTATGCTAGCAGCAAAAACGTTAGGTGGAAAGAATCCAGGTTCGTTTTCGGTTACGTCAACCAGTCTGTCGAGGAAACGGAGATATTCTAAATAGTGGTGAATGGTGACATTACCAGTCATATTATATTATATAAGCCCTACTAAATAATACCTTTATAAAGGAGGTGGCGCATACCTTTCAAATTTTAGAGTTATATTTGAATAAAAATTGTGAAGCTTTGCTCAGCATACTTATTCTTTGATAATATCGATGATTTATGATGGTAAATGGAAGGAACCTATAACTTAAAGTGGAAGAAATCTTCAATTTGTTTCATACGTCACTGTTAGCCGAAAGACTGTATAGCGATTTGTTAAATATTTTCATCAAAAGTCCTTATTTTCGCCCAACTACACATATATAACACTTACTACTCGAAGTATCAGAATCTAGAACCATTGCTATATCGGCCATATGGCTGTGGTTACTTGTTGGCGCCAATTGTGTGCAAAGTGAACATCATAAATCCTGGCAAATGTGAACATTTATTAAACTTGTGAACCAGCCAGAAACACCAATCCGTTGAGTGTGAAAGGGCTGAGTGTGTGAGCACCACTGCGTATGCGGTTAGTGTTCATTACGCGTAAATGAAAGCCGCAGCCACATCGTAAAACAGCAACGCACAATACCGCAACAAATGAGTTTTATAAATGAATTCCGCCGCTTTTCTGCAATAAATCAAACACATTTCAATTTGCAGCTTTGTTTTTAAATAATATCGCTAAACACTAAACTGCCAGCCGGCGGAGGTGCATGAGCGATTTCTAAATTACGTCAGTTGATTGAAAATCAAGCGTACTTTGTGTGTGAATGCGTGAGCGTATGATATGTTAAATTTAGCTTGATTACTGTTATGTGGCTTGCACAGTATTCACCAATCCTCCAACAGTAAGTGTGCATAAAATTAATTGAAAATCTATAATAAATGAACTTTTCTGCAGAAATCGTAGCGTCAATAAATTATAAAACATTTTCTCTGCCAGTAATTATTTAAAATTTATTAGGCATTTAAGTGAGAGTTGCAGTTTTGCGCCACAACTATCTGAATTTGAATTTATTTTGGTTTAGTATGCACAGGTATTTGCAGTATTTGCCACAAAGCAAGTGGTATTTACAATGGATTTTGTTGTTGACGAACGCTAAGCACAAATTATGTGTGTACGGAATGGCATATGTTATCGGCCTTGACGCAACAGCAATCGTGCCTACATAACTTTAATCACGTCCATACGTATAGACACATTGGTTCCCTGTAAGAAATTAATTAAAATATAAATGAGTAAAAAGTAGATTTGAATTTTTTTCAATTTTTTTAAGACTCAAAAATGTTTCCAACTCATCTTTCGTGCTATAAACCTTTACCTTTAGTTATATTCTGCCTCTAGGCATAGTATTTCTAGTCCTGAAATCCTACCTTGTGACGAGCATGATTGATGAAAATTTTTGATCCTTGCTAAATCACTAAACGAACGTTTAAGATTTGAAACATAAACGGATAAAGTGCAAAAATGTCTCAAAGCGATGCAAATATTTGGGAAAAGTCTTCCTAATTTTCGAGCATTGATGGCATTCAATAAGTTGTTTTGCAGACGGGTTTCAAAATTTTCATCGTAAACGTGTCTGAAGTGAATAGCTTCATTGGACAAGTTGTCAGATACATCAACGGTATACTCTTTTGCAAAATTTTTTTTAGCTGCGTTGAATTTATCTTCTTGCATATCATGGCAATGCCATTGAAATAAGAACAATTTCTTTTGAATTCAATTTCTTTCTTTACTGCAATTTTCATGCACTTTTTCAGTTTTGTCGTTTCCGTGTTTTTATACTCTCGACCACTGCCACGCCCACAAAACGCCAATAATCAAAAACAAATAAATTGCCATAACTAAGCTCCGCAATAAGACTTTTATTTGGTACACAGGATCACATTAGGGAGGGGCATCTGTAGTTAAAATGTTTTTTTTAAAGTGGGCGTGGGCCGCTCCTAATAGGTTTAATGTGCATATCTTCTAAACCGCTAATGCTATAATAACAAACTTCACTGGAAGCAAATGTTTTTGAAGAACCTCTACCTACAGTGTGAAAATAGTTGAAATCGGGTGGCAACTCCGCCCACTCCCTATATAACGGTACTACTAAAGCGTGATAAATCAAGCACTAAACACGCCATAGACATTAAATTTTATCTCTGGGATGGTATGAGATGACTTTATAGGAATATAACATCATTTTCAATTTTATCTGATTCTTTAACTTTCTACTATGCATATCAAGCAACAATAATTATATCTAACCTAAAACTTTGTGTAAATAATACGTTTAAAGTATGCCAATTTGTGACCAAAAATTGTCTAAATCGAACGAATTGGATATTTTGGACTTCAGAATTTCCCAACGTTGTGTGCTGACACAGAATATTGAAACATTTTTGAATGACACCAAAAAAAGTTATTGCTCGAGGACAGCATTCAGCCAAATTCAGCGTGTGGGCACCACAGGGCGAAAGAACTTCATACTAATTTGTATGTTAGATGTGATTTTGCGCTCCTTCATATATACCGCTCATATTACTACCATGTTTTGTTAATTAAAGCGGCAATACCTTTGCCAATTATTTCGTGTCAATCTACAAAAGGGTAAAACGTTCCTTTATCGTGAATCACAATGTTTGAATAAATGTTCGAATTAATCACACAATAAAAGCATTCTAATTTTTAACTACTTAATTTTTTGGAAAATACGGGCCCCTCCGAGAAGTCCAGGCCCGGAGGGAACCATGGAACCTAAGGTACATCAATAAAATTAACTGAGAATATTTCGCTTATTGCAAATTGGTGCCAAAAATATCTGTCCAAAGCCTTTTTAATAATAATATATACACCCGTAATAAGGCATACCTTACCGGCTGAACCGAAGTTATAATACCCTTCAAATGTGCATTTTTTATAGCATAAAAGGACTTTTGTCAGTCAGTTTAAATGGCAGCTGTATGCTACAGCTGTCCGATCTGATCCAGATCCTTATTTCGTAAAGATGCCATGTCAGATTAAAAAGTTTTCCATACAAGGGTTTGTGTTTGATCATTCAGTTTGTCCAATACTAGCGATTCGGACAAATAAGTAGCTTCTTCGTGAGAAAACAACGTGTGTAAAATTTCAGACCGATATCTCATAAACTCAGGGACTAGTTAGCGTATATACAGACGGTCATGGCTAAATCTACTCAGATCGTCACGCTGATCAATTATATACCATATATACATTACAGGGTCTCCGACATTTCCTTTTGGGTGCTACAAACATCGTGGCAAACTTAGTATTTCCTGTTCAGGGTATAAAAATGTGATTGTGTTAAGTTTTTCGAACTGTTACAGGTACGTGTGGACTGCCAGTAAACTGCGCGCGCAAACGGAATGTATCGACATTATTTTTCCTAGATTGGTAAAACCGTCTTTACGTTCGTGGGAAGTTTGATCTAAATATGTCAAATCATGTGTATTTGGCAGCTGCTTGAATACAGCGCGAAACGTTTGGAAATTGATTCACAGCTACGGTATTGTTGAAAATGTTTCGGAGGTGTTTTGGGTAGTCTACTTTATCACGAACACAATTATTTGAGTGACACAAAGCATTCAGTGAAGATCGTGAAGTCATCGAAAACTTGCGCCATGCTAGTCGTCTCATCAATGACGATAATATCGCAAAAGTTAAAGAAACAGTTGTTGAAAAATAGATCAACATTTAATCCCCCAGTTATATTTTTTGATATTTATATAACGATTTATGTATGCGTCTTTTTAATGTAGTATCATGTCACCTTGTTGCTGTTTCCGTGGCTAAGGTATATCTTTGAGAACATCTACTAATAGTGTCGGAAGATATTCAAGATTAGATGGATATCGTATAGCAAACTTCTGGTTATCTCCGTACATTCATCTAGGTATGACCAATCAATCAGTTTGCTTGCATAAGGAGTCAGAATTTAAACAAAGATTTTTTTTTTTTTAATTTTCTTAAAGTACATGAAATTAGAAATATTATCTGAAAATTGGAAGTAAAACCTCAAACACGTTTTTCTCAAAACTATGTTTTTTGAAGGGTGATCACTGTAGCTCGAAAACCACTCAGCAGTTTTCAATGATATTTATACAGCTTTTTTTGAAAGCATGAAAAACTAGTGCCTGTAACTGTAACTGTTCTCCCCGAAATCCGAAACCTCAAAGGATTAGTGATGGTCACCGCAAAGAGCTTCGGTTACAACTGGGTCAACACGAACAGCCAGGCAAAGAAAATTATTTATATAGTAATTTTCCATGTCCTGGAATACACCTAACCCCATAAATTGACTTATAAACTTACAATGCAATAACAGCAATTTCTTAGACTTTCATCTACGCATTCGCTTATTTAGTTTGAGTGCACAAACACTTTGCCTTTTGAAAGGATGTTCAATTCAAGTGTTGCATGACTTGTTTACTTAGAAATCGTATATAAATAATTCTTCTTGCACATTTTCTTCAGTCACGTCATCCGCTTCCTTTTCCTACTTTCAAATATTTTTTTCAAATTAAATCATTTTTAAAAAGAGGAAACGAGCAGTAAAGATGTTTTTGTTTTCTTTTCTTATAGTATATTTAGTAATGCATAGAAGATTTATTAAATGTGCCAAAGCGTATGAGTGATATTTTTCACACAGCAGTCTCAGCTGAAGGTAGGTTACTGCCAAATGCATATGTATGTATTAATTTTAGAGAAAATAACAGTTTTTACAACGTGAGCTAGGTAGATTATATATCTATTTCATAGTACATTTTCATGAGACCTTAGGAAAAATGTTGTGGGAGAAAGAAAGAACTTAGCATAATTTTCATTAATTTCAAGACACCTGTAAAGTCAAAATGGATTAAAAGTGTCATACTCTGTGAAAATGGGTAAAATCAGATAATAACCGTGCCCACTTTCCATATAACGGTTATGTTGAAAAATTCTAAAAGTGCAATAACCCACTGAACATTAATTTTCACTACCAAGATGGTATGGAAGGGCTTTATAGGAGCAGGTATAAAACTTGGACAATTGGCGTGGCACCGCCCACCTTTAGATGAAATTATACACTGTGAAAATTGGCGAAATCCGATGACAACCACGCCTACTTCCAAACAAACAGCATTTTAAATTCCATCTAATTTGTTTACTTAAAAATATACAAATCAAACATCAATTAAGTTATCAGAAAAAAATTTGCCCAAATAATGTCCTCAAGGAGTCAGAGCCACAATAAATGGACCCCAGTGCATATGGCTGATTTTTTACCGAACATATCGGTTAATATGGGAGATTTATTATAGAAATTCAGGGAGAATATTTTTGACAGCATGCCTTTGTGCCAAAAATGGTTAAAATCAGATCAATACTTCCTTTAGCCCCCATATACCTAATAGAAATATTTTCGAACTTCCGGTTGACTTTATACCGCATCTATCGGTCGATATGTAAGAAATCTTAATGAAATTCAGAAAAAGGCTCTCTCTAATAACAGTGCATCTAATACCTACTTCCTCTAGTCCCCATTTCTTAATTTGCAAATTGCGAGAGTATCGTCTTCGGTGCTTATATAGCCTCTTACACCAGTGCAAAAGCCGTTGAAAAATTTTAAGGGTTAAAAACAATTTGTGTCAATTTCCGGCAAAACAAAGAGCCTTATACAAAAAAGTTGTATAGCGAAGTTATAGGAAATGAAAAGATCTATAACTTTTGTATACACCATTTTCATATATCCTTAAATTGTATGTGAAAAATTCCAATAACCAAGTTTTTAAGTTTTTTATTTTTATCTTGCATAACAAATTTTCTTCTTTAGCGAATTTTGGTGTAAACTTACCTTCTTATATTCCAAACACACTTTATTTTTTTTGTTTTTGTTTAAAATATTTTCTTTTCCTTATATTGAATATAGGCGACGATATACTCTTTTATCTTATTATGCTTAAATAACTAATTGTGGACCGCATTCATTTGCGCATGGATGTTAGAAACGTAAAATATGAACCTGCGCCCTGCAATATCTAATAAAACAATGTTAGGATTTTATAACAGTTGATAACCCTTGCTACTCACCTTCAAAACAGCCGCCAAAGAGATACTAAAATATTTGAAACCGGTCAAAACAAATGGTTTCTGACTAGTGCTGATCGCTAAAAGCAATGTTTTCATTAGACGCACATTTGATTTCGTATCTCCAGACTTTAGTAAAACCAACTCCCAATTGCATTCGTAGAAAGTAGAACTCATTTCGTTAGTCTAAATAGTAGGAAGCGAGAGAGAGAGCAGTGTGAATATTCCAAAAAGTTTTTCGGTTGCTTACTGTGTAAATCACCGTCGATCCTAACTGGCCAACCAAAATCATTTCCATAATTTTAGCGCAAATCCAAAATATGAACCCAAAACTAGCCATCGGATTCTAAATGTAGAGGGAAATAGGAAATATCAGTGATTTTATGCAATAAAAGCACCGCAACTATCCTGGATAGTATGTTTTACTTTCTAAGTTCCGCAACTATTGTATGATTTTTTATTTTTTCATTTATTTTATAATTTTTTATGCTCTAGAAGTCTCTGTGAGCTGATCCCATTATTATATTTTGATTTTTTGAATAGTATTGCACAAAGCTTAAGCTTATTATACTCTTACAAGTTATACATGTATGTATATATACAAGGTGCGTTCCAAAGTAAACAGTAAAAGAGTAACAAAGTAAACTCTAGTGGCTCCATCTATATTTCGACTAGTGCATTAGAATCTGCTATCCTCTATCGACTTCCAGTAAAAATTTCATGACATTTCATTTATTGGAAGTGAAGTTCTTGCGTTTTAAGTGTCAGTATGTTTTTGTCATCGGTGCGAAAATGAGCTTCGAACAAAGAGCCAACATTAAATTTTGTTTTAAAATTGGTAAAACTTTTACCGAAACATTTCAATTGATGAAACAAGTTTATGGCGATGATTGCCTATCCCGTAGCAGAGTGCACGAGTGGTTACAACGTTTTCAAAGTGGTCGTGAGGACATAAATGAGAAATGAGCCGAAACCCAAAAAACCGCGCCTGGAGAAATCAAAAGTGAAGACAATGCTGATTTGATTTTATGATTCCAAGGGTATTGTCCACAAAGAATTTGTTCCACCCGGCCAAACCGTTAATGCGATATTCTACCTTGGAGCTTTGAAGCGTTTGGTGCGCCGTATTCGACGTGTTCGGCCCGAATATTGCGAAGATGGAAGTTGGCGTTTGTTGCACGATAATGCGCCGTCTCATCGATCGCCACGCTTGTGGCCGATTATTTGACCAAAAATCACATTTTAACAATCAACCGCTCCCCGTATTCACTTGATATGGCACCGTGCAACTTCTGCCTTTTCGGAAGAATGCATTTGCCGATGAAAGGATAGCCTTACGCAGACGTGGAGGCCATTCAAAAGGCTTGCACCGGCATACTGGCAACCATACCGGGCAACGAGCTGAAACACTCGTCCGACATGCTTTTGGACCGTGCAAAAAGCTGTATTAAAGCATAAGGAGACTATTTTGAATAAAATTAATTGGTTTTGCCGATAAAACCATTTGTTCTGTCTTTTTTTTTAAAGTCCTGTTTACTTTGGAAAGTACCTTGTACATGACCAGTGAGCGACTGTCTGTCTGTCCGTCCGTCCGTGCAAGATGTAACTTGAGTAAAAATTGAGATAACTTAATGAAACTTGCCATAACTAAGCCGCAAATTTGGATACAACACTGTAGAGTAAAACAACGAATCGCAATAACAAGCGGCACGTGTGGTTTGAAAATTTTTAAAAATTTGGTGTGGCCCGCCCCCTAAAAAAACCATCCCCAAACCATCCAAATTGGCATTTGTCATTTGACACCTCTTGCGACAGCATGAAAATATATGAAATCGGATGATAACCACGCCCACTTCCCATATAAGGATTTGGTTAGAAACTACTAAAAATGCGATAAATTAATAACTAAATTCAGAGGCATTAAATTACATTCAGGACAGCACAAGAGGGCTTTTTAAAGCAGGTGTCAAAATTGGGCGATGGGCGTGGCACCACTCACATTTCGGTGAAATCAGATATCTCCGGACTTAGTCAACCAATTTCAACCAAATTTGGTACATAAGATTATGTTATCATTCCGGCTGACTTTATAGCCCATATATCGACCAATATGTGAGTTATGTTAATTACATTGAGTGAGTGTGGTCAATACTACACCTATCTCCCATATACCTAATAAAAGATTTTCAAACTTCCGGTTGGCCTTATACCGTATATATCGGTCAATATGTAAGATATCTTAGCAAAGGATGATTTTAATAAAATTTTCGCTGGAGGGAAGTAAAATATAGTTATAAAACTAATTGAGTCTATGACCTAGAATATAACTTAATAAAATACCTAATTTTATAGTAATTCATGCACGATTACGTCGAAAAATGAACATTAAATTCTTTCGCAACAATTTTTTATGTGAAGTTTTGCCAACACCGGTTTTGAGCCTTGCAAGTAGCCCTACCTTAATTGTTAAAAAAAGAAAAATTTGTCAGTTTCGTAGCGCAATTTTTATCTTATGCGTTGGACAAAAAAATACAAAAATTCGTGACGTCATGAACAAAGGGGGAGAAGCTATATATGATATTCTCATTGTTACTCACCGTATACACCTTAAAGCCCAGTACACATAGCAACCCGGCACTAAAGGACAAACTGACAAATAGACGAAAGGAAAATTCTCGCTCAAAATCTTCAGCAAATTTGTACAAGCGAACATTTTCTTCAACAGCTTCGATAATCTGACGTCGAAGTTCATCAGCAATATTTCTTTCGTCTACTATATGCAACAAACGATCAGCATCTTGACGCAGTTTCTGTTGCAGTAGCAGGAAACGTCCATTTAGATGTAGCAACACTTCGGATAGTATGTTGTCCTCGCCAGAGACCATGGTGATCACGGTGAATCCCACCCAAATGTTTGATAACACAATGGCCACGTAAATCGGATTGGGCGTGATGTCGAACGGATAATACATTTTGTAGAGCGGTACTTTGACATTATTCAGATAATTAATTAACGGCATTATTACGTAAGAGGATAGAGTGCTAAAATATAATAGGGAATTAAACCAAATCGGACGCAAACGTTTCTGTATATTTGCATAGAGTTTGGAGTGAGATGACCTGCCAAAGATAAAGACAAATACAATGCAATAAATTAGAATGTATATATGCATTTGCATTTGAAGTATGTCACTCACTGATCTATATAGATTTCAGCATAAAAATTCTGCAAGAAACGCTTGAATGCCTCCTTCTTTAAGCCTAACTGAAAGGCACGTAAGTGAATCTCAACTAGAATCAGATACGTTGGTCCACAAATTAGCATCTCATCCAGATTATTATTATTGCGAATTATATAACGCAGCTCAGCATCGTTGTGTTGCATAAATATGAAGAAACCGAACGCCCAAAAGAATCGATCGAACAGACGCTGCAGCCAGCTTGCGTCATCTTGCAGTGGCCAGCATACATGATTCAAGAGTCGATAGGCAGCTACGGGCCAAGAAAGTGGAATCAACTTGCCGTTTTCCAACCGCGGACGATACAACATTACGTTGATATAACGAAACGTTAGAAATTCAATTTATTGACAGAGGATGTCGTGTGCACCTTTTATACACGAAGTGTAAACGTACGAAAGTACATACGTATATAATGTCTGTTTACATAAATACACGGCTGACATAATTAAGTGATTAAAGCACTTTTTTCATTTAAAAAGTTCTTGTAAACTTTTCAAGTATTTTATTTACAAAATAGAAAATTCATAATTACCTTCTTCACGTACCCAGGTGGAAACATCGACTCTTTCCGAATATAGGTATGTATGTAGGAAACGAAACTAAGGTAAACTTTATTTCGGAAAATTTTTAGAATTGGTTCGAGAAAATAATGTGACCGTTCAAAAATATATAAATGATAGGAACCCTACCACTTTGGGGTAACTACGAAGGCGTATCTCTTTCCAACTATTCAATCTATCGTGGTTAAACTCAATAGCTTACTAGCAGAACGATCTCGCTAACCTCATATACAACAGTGATCTTCAAACCCAAAAAAATTGTGATAATTTTGAGGCTATTAATCAGGGAATCCAGCAAGAATTCATTATGATTGCGCTTCAACAGCGTTCAACACTTCTGTAACCTGATATAATATTGTTATCCGAAGAGTACCAACGCTGCACCCATCCCACCGACAGCTTTCTCATGTCTTATACATACATACTTTACACAGAAAGTGACCCATGTAGTCTTTTGAGATACGGGTCCGACAATACGAGGCGTAGACTTTTTACACTTATCTGCCTTGCTAGCCGTTTTGGGTGCACGTTTAGAGATGCCCTTTTTGAATACTAGTGATCATAACCTTTGTACGGGAATAAGCGGAAGTTGGTTACATCAGGTTTACATGCGAATCCGTTAAATAACTCAATCATGTGTTTAAGATGAACAGAGCATAATTTACATTTGTTTGTTAAATTAATGCAACCCAAAGATAATCGAAAACAATGTGCTCCAAAAGTTACTTAAGAAGTTAAAGCAGAATGGAAGACGTCATATTAAAATCTTCTGCATGCATGCTTATGTATCGTGAACACAATTTTAATGCAAAAATAGCACAAAGGTAGCCCTTAATAAGTGCCAATAGTAAGTTTTGCCTTAAATTTACAAAAAATCACTTGGAGAAGAACTCTGCATTTTGACATTCCAATTGCCGACTAAGCAAAATTTCATGTTCCAAATAACAAGAATATGAGAGCCACTGTAAAAGGTTAGGTTAGGATATGAGGTAGATCCCAATAGGGATCTCACTTTGATAGCATAGAACGCCGGTCCGTTGTGTTACCTAAAACTCCTATATAATATATCTTAATATCCTAACAAATCGACAAAGTGCTTTGAGCCAAACAAATTTGTTGAGGCGGCTAATGTTAGTTTCGACTATGTCTCCTTGTTTATCGAAGGTAAGATTATCGAGATGTTTCAACCTCAGTCTTGCAAAGGCTGGACCAAACGACCATAGGAGGAGAAATAGTCTGGATGTTTCCACCTCATCCTCCTTCATACAACCTGTGTCCGTCAAGATTTTTGGCCTTACCAGTTGCGGCAAGATAAACTTTGACGTGCAAGTGATTCAGAAGATCTGCTGTGCTCTACTCTAGACCAAAGATCTTATAATCGCACAGGAGCGGACGTCGTCCAGTACCTAGTAATCGCACGCGAGATCCATCGCTCCATTGCTAGAACGGGGCAAGTGTGTCCCCTCTGGCTAGATTGATGTCTTTACAGTTTTAAATGTAAATATCTCGGAACACGATCACCTGGATATTAAGGTTACGTCTAATTATACCCTGAAGAGATAGATTTTGTAAGTTTACCACGAAGCAACATCGGAGATACTTAAAATGTATATATAAGTGATAAGCATGACGAGCTGAGTCGAGTTAACCACGTCTGTCTGTCTATCTGTATATACGCAAACTAGTCCCTCAATTTTTGAGATATCGATCTGAAATTTTGCACACGTCTTTTTTCGGCAAGAACCTGCTAATTTTTCAAAACCGCTGATATCGGACCACCATAGCATATACCTGCCATATGGTCCTGGTATGGAAAACTTTAATTGGGTGACGAGCTATCTTCACCCAATTCGGCAAGCATTATTGCCCAAGGCAACGGTACAATCACCAAAGAAATATTTTAGATCAGACCACTATAGCACATACATATGTAGCTGCTATACAAACCGACCGATTAATATCTATTTCTTTTATGCTATCTAATCTTTTGTATTTATGAAAGGTATTGGGGATCCGTTTTTACTTATTTTTCAATCGAAAACTTAATCAACTTTGATTGAAATAACTGTGACTTTGAGTGTCACCTGGAGTACTAGCGTCTCCTACATTCATTCACCGTGATTTGGGCACATATTTAGATATCAGCGACTGTCGAAAGATGCTTCTGAAAGTTTACTCTGTCATCCATTTTGAAATTAATACTTTTGTATAGGAACCATGATTTATTGAATTCTGCACATCACTATAAGGAATATAAATTAATCACCGCTAATAAACGTTAGATGTCGCAACATGCTCCCGCCATATATATTTATGTGCCAAATAAAACTCGCTGACATTTGACTATTGGAAAATTTTCTATTGTCGTCGACTCATCGTTGCACAAATTTGCAACTGAACAATAAATAAATTGTTTTTAAGTTGTCCGTAATAATATTATTATTCTATTGAAAATGGGTACGACTTTAAACGATTACAAACTTAGTTGCGAGTTGTATGGTCATTCTATGGATGTACGCTCAGTTGCTGCCGGTTGGGAAATTGCGGAAGAACAAGTAATAATTTCAGGTTCTCGTGATAAAACAGTTAAATTGTGGAAACGTTTGGGGTGAGCCGAATTTTTCATTTAATTTCAATTAAAAAACTATTATTTAACATTTCTAAGGCAAGACTACGCAGAATCCGTCACTTTTCAAGATCATAAAAACTTTGTAGCTTTTGTTTTCTACCTTGAAACTGAAAAATGGATATGCTCAGCTAGTAATGATGCCACTGTCGCCATTTACAAAGAAGGCGGTTTTGTGCCCATACTAACTCTCAAAGGACACGATTCCACGGTTTGTTCAATTGCGACAGGAGCAGGGCCAAAGACTCTTATTACCGGCAGTTGGGATACAACTGCTCGTATTTGGACGATTAAAGAGACGGGTGATATCGCTTCAGTAGTGTTACGTGGTCATGAAGCAGCAGTATGGTCAGTCGCCTGCCTTGTCAAAGCAAAAAAATATATTACTGGTGGAGCAGATAAGTGCATATATTACTGGAATGCCAGTGGCGAAAAGCTACGCATGTTAAAAGGGCACACGGATTGTGTTCGTGGTATTTTAACTATGAGTAATGACTCCCTTGTTTCATGTGCCAATGATGCGGTTATAAAATATTGGAATGATGATGGTGAATGTGTAAAAGAATTGAGTGGTCATACAAATTACATATATTCCGTGGCAGCGAATCCTGCACTAGGTGAAAACATAATAGTATCCTGTGGTGAAGATAGTACATTACGAATGTGGGATTTGTCAATTGGCGAAGAATTGGGAAGTGCCATTATTCATCCTGCACAATCCGTATGGTCTGTAACTTGCTTAAAAAACGGCGACATTGTAACTGGCTCAAGTGATGGTGTGGTTCGTATATTCACAAAAGATCCTGCACGATATGCAAGTGAATCGGCCAGTAAAGCTTTTGAGCATGCGGTCGCTACGAGAAAGGTTCAAATGTCTGAAGAAATTGGAGGAATAAAAAAGACTGAGTAAGTAAAATTATTACTGTGATAAACATAATTGTTTTTCGTGCACTAATTAGCAAAAGTTTCAAATTGCATATTATCACAGCTTTACTGATTTAAAAGTGTTTTAATTTGTCCGTTTCCCGTGTCAATAATCGTAACCTTGAAAAAATAAATCTATCGTCTAACATACGCTTAGGTTACCTATCCGAACCTATAAAATCCATCACAGATGCATTTCTTATAATATAAAAGGGAATAAAAAGATATTTATCTTGATTTTGATCGTTTCTTCTGGGTATTACAAACTCCGTGGCACACTTAATATATCCTGTTCAGGGTATAATGGACATTTCTGTAAGACTACAGAAAAGCGTATTATTCGTTTGTGACCAATAGAAAAGTCGTGCTGATGTTAAAATGATATGACCTTACTTTGAAATGGTGATTGAATCTCCATTTACCTTTTTTCTTTTTTTTTGACATGAAATAAATCATTAGCAGTTAATGCTGTTACTAACTTAATTTATGTTTTTATTATGTGGTAATATTTAACATGTTTATTTAAATATTTTACTAGTTTACCTGGTCCTGAAGCTTTACTCACAAACGGCACGCGAGAAGGTCAAACAAAAATGGTGCGTCATCAGGATGGGTCGGTGAAGTGCTACGCCTGGCAGTTAGGTCAATGGACTTTAGTTGGTGATGTTGCAGGTGCTTCAGGCGGATCTCAAGCCTCTTCCGGCAAAATTTTACACGAAGGAAAGGTTTGTATGTGGGAGAACAACATTTTTGAAATAATAAAAATTCTCAAATAATTTGTATGCAGGAATACGACTTTGTTTTTTCTGTAGACATCTCAGACACTGAACCTCCAATTAAGCTGCCCTATAATAAGGGTGAAGATCCTTGGCAAGCTGCGCAAACATTTATACATCGAAACAACCTACCACAAGCCTATCTAGACCAAGTTGCGAATTTTATAATTAAAAACTCGCAAAGTACTGGCAACGTGATATCTCAGCCGACCGCTGGGTTCGTAAATAATTCACAACCTCGTAACAAAAGCGTATTTATATATTTAATATTATAACTTATTCTTAAAGTGGTTACCAGGATCCGTTTACGGGTGGATCAAGATATGTACCTGGTAGTAACAATCAAAACTTAAATGCCGCAGGTAACGTTGATCCGTTTACTGGTGGTTCAAGTTACTCCACAGCTGCATCGCATTCACAACCAAAACCAGAAGTTAATTTCATTAGAGGTATAAATTAAAAGTTTTTAATTAAAAGTAAGTTTAACGTGCCTATCTATTTTTAGGTAGTGAGAAACATTTTCCCGTCAGCAATTACGTAACTTTTGACAATTGTGATCCTGGCAAAGTATTAGAAAAATTGAAGTAAACCAATTCTAACGCTAAATCTATAAAATGTATATAATTCCATTCCCGAATCCATTTCTACTTAGGGAATTCAATAATAAACTGACCAATGATAGTGAAAAAGTTTCGGATACGTTATTAAATGCAATTATTGCACTAACATCAACTTCGCCAGAAGTGGATACAAGCTCTGTGGAAGCTCTGCATCATTTATTACGTTGGCCTAATGGTTTGTCTATAAATCAAAGTATAATATAGTTTAGATTCATGATTTAATTTTTTCAGACATCCTCTTTCCCGTTTTGGATGTGGCCCGTCTAGCTATACGACATGAGCCAATATTTGCGATTTTAAACTCATATAATTTCCTAGATAACATTCTGCCAAAGTTAAATACATCTGCCGCTAATACTTTAATGATAGTACGTTGCCTAGCGAATATGATGCGCCACGAAACTGGCCGGAAACAAATTGAACCTCGTTTTGCGGCCATAGCGGCACACATAGATCAAATTAAAAGTGGTAGTGGAAATTTGCAGATCGCCATCGCTACATTCTACTTGAATGTCACAATATCTCAGACACTTAGCGTGGCGAAGAGTGAATGTTGTCGTATAGTAACTGAAGGCGTCGTCGAATTGCTGAAATGGGCTATTGACTTGGAGGCATGCTATCGCGCTATTCAAGCCATTGGTAATTTAACAACCACGCCATTTGGTCAAGAGACACTTGCTATTGTCGTATCGGTGGACTATGTTATGGACAAAATACGCGAATTAACTAACACCCCACAATCGGGCGTCTACGCCAAACTCAATTCTGCGGGCAGTGCCCTGCTGGCAACTTTCTGAGTAATATATGCGCTACACAGAATTTATAAAACGATATCCAGAAAATGCATTAAATGCAACCTTTGTTTCACTACCATTTGATAAAAACACAAAATAAAAAAGTTTAAAAGTATAATTTGAATATTTCACTTTTCTTGTGAATTACCTCATCAGAACGCAGCAGGGTTGCAAATAATGAATAGGAAAAATAATTTAGTTAACATTTGAATCAAATGCTTTTTTTTTTAAATTTGTAATCCCAAATACGTGCAAAAATTTTTCAAATACCGGATTTAAAAAACAAGTTAAACCTAAGCATATAATTAAGAATTAGAAAAGAAACTGTTTTTGCATTAATATGTTTTCGCGTTTGCGTACTTCGTGTTCTATAATTTCGAAGTAGAGTTCGCATAGGGCCCTTATCTTCAATAAGCACTAATCGGCAAACTTACACTTTCAAACGATTTATATTTTATCATTTTTTAATTCTAAATTTTGGGATTAAAAATAACTTTTTCAGTATTAATTCCAACATCATGGATTAAAAATTAAATTTGCAATACTCCGATGTCAAGATTAAATAAGTGTTTTTTTATAATTTTCAGTTTTATTTAGAATCTGTCTTATTATTAAAATGTCAATAACAAAATTTGCAAAAACAATGATGTTAAGGTTTACAAAATTGAAGGTGAAATCAATTGAATCGAAAGGGGAGATCGAACGGATGATATCTTTTTAGTCTCCTACATTGTTGGATCGCAAGTACGTTATCATGGTTCTCCAAGCAAGAGAGGTAAGAGGCATTCACAACAGTGTGAAGATTTTAATTTTGAAAGACTTGAATACCTTTAAATTTGAATCAGCTAAGCTCCCCCAGTTTTCTTTCGACCAGATAGGTCTTGAGTATTTCTTTATATATGAGTAGCTTGTTCTTCAAACTGAGACCTGATCTTGACCTTAGGAGCCAGTACAGCTGCGCAAACCCTAACCTAAGCTGGGTTCTTTTAATTTCCACGTGGTCTCTCCATATACAAGTTATATTTCTATTATCTTTAAACTTTTATTGTTCCTTTATTCGGTAGCGACGGTGTTGTCGACTACCACGAACTATTTAAATAATAGTTATTTATTTATAATCACTACTTTTACTATAAGTAGTTTGAATACTTATGTGCGTTGTGATTGGTAGCGACGGTGTTGTCGACTACCCACTAACTATTTAAATAATGTTTCCGATTATGCGATAGCGACGGTGTTGTCGACTACCACGGAATTATGTTATTTTTAAATAAGCACAAGTTGAGTTCCGTTCTTAAACTGTTTTATTAAAATAACATTTCTCTTATTTATAATCTACTATTACTATCGCCGCTACTGCCATTGACGCTGCTTTGTAAGGCATTGCGTTACATCCGCCGGTCACACGGTCGGTGGCTACTGCAAGGTGTTGAATTGCGGCTGTCGGTCATTCAGAAATCCAAACTACATAGGTTGCAATTTTGGCAGTTCAAGAGACTGACTTAGTTAACTATTGTTAACTACTCCCTCTTCCAAAATATGGGCGTCCTCGGCCATACCCAACTTTTCCAGTACTCGCCGCACAGCCTCCGAAGTTTTATTTCGTCGCCGACGCATCAGTAAAACGATTAATCCGATTGTGGTTACGGAGATAATGGCACAGATTACGGCGGTAACGACTGGTGTAGCAATTGTTCGTATGCGTAGTTCGGAGATGCGTTGCAAGTTCTTTTTACTCAACTTGTGAAGGAATGGTAAGCTTGGCAGGGCATGATGGTAGGTTACGTTGAGTCGCGCTGAAGTCGCCAGTTGGGGAAGTCTCTTCGGATAGTCATTGAAGTTGACATGTTTTGTACCATTGATAAAGGCGGTGCGTTTAAACGTAATAAGGTAAGGGCCGTTCACAAAAATTTCAGGGCCATCATCTACGCTAACCTCGACCAGCGCATCATTTACCACCACTATACCGTCGTCTTCCATTTACGGCATCTCTACAGAACGTTATCATTGGCGTGTCAACGCAAGAAGTAACAGCGGTGATGCTACCTTCACAGTCAGCTATGATGTTATCTAACAAGTGCAATATACGGCCAGCATGCGATATGGGAAAAAATAGTAATATTTTTACATAGTAACTTAGTTCTAGGGAAGCTGATTACAAAAATTATTATTTCTTTATTCGCTAAAACCTTAACTCTAGCTATCCTAAGCAATTGGGTTATTGTAACTCTCTTAAAACCCTCCTTCATAACCGCCTCTGTAATAACTGTATCAAAATAACTGTATCGGAAGTTTTCATTTGAGGTTGTCCTTGTGAACCACCCTCCCCTTAATAAGAACGGTTGTTCCTAAATCAGCGTCAACCTTCTCTTCAATATGCAATGGGATGACCTTGTCGCCCAACCTCTTGTTGGATTTTTCTCCCACTTCGAAGACCATATTCTGGCGATAAGCGTTGCTCCGATCTATTTGCCTCGTAGCAATATTCGGGAAAATATGTGAACTGGCATGGAGGATTCCAATCGCCTTCTCCGCTAACAAATTAAGAGTATCTGTTTCATAGCCGGCTACATTTTCAGCTTCTATTTCTGCCGCTGCATCATAAGCAGCTTGATCGTGTTGATTTTTGTATTGGGATACATCATTTTTTTCTTGTGTCAAATAATTTACGCTCTGGCGTCTGTAATCAGACATTCTTTGAGATGCTGCCTCCCGCCAGGACACATATAGTTCCTGTAAGCCATCGAACTCTGGGACCGACTTAACTGCATCCAGCCCTTCATGACATTCGACACCGTCTATAATTTTTATTGGCTCGTAGGCCTTGATTTCGGGGGCTGTCACAGTTGTGAATTGGTTTGTAAGCTGCTCTATCCTGGCTTCGAATTCTTTTCTTTGAACCTGCAGTGCGGCACTAACGGCCGCATAGATAATACCTTGCAACTGCTGTTCATTCATATCTTGCCCGCGTTTGATTCGTTAGTTTAAGTCGACAGTTACACAGTCATACAGTTACAGTCAATACAAATACTACTAAAGAGTCGATATATGGCGGATATGAAAAGGGGTTTAACTTACATAATTATATTGAGATTTTCTTTCTTCTACGTTGATTGTGATCTTCTTTCTTCCTCCTTGGTTCCGATCTTCCTTCTTGCACGTTGCTTGTAATCTTTCTTCCACGTTGGAATGGCAATTTGCGGATTAAATTCAGTACTTTTCTCGTAACGACGAATTTCATGTACCGCGACAATGACGATGGGGTTTTGTTATTATTATTATTTTTTTTTGACAGCACTTTTCACGAGCCCCACGTTGGGCGCCAGTTATATTTCTATTATCTTTAAACTTTTATTGTTCCTTTATTCGGTAGCGACGGTGTTGTCGACTACCACGAACTATTTAAATAATAGTTATTTATTTATAATCACTACTTTTACTATAAGTAGTTTGAATACTTATGTGCGTTGTGATTGGTAGCGACGGTGTTGTCGACTACCCACTAACTATTTAAATAATGTTTCCGATTATGCGATAGCGACGGTGTTGTCGACTACCACGGAATTATGTTATTTTTAAATAAGCACAAGTTGAGTTCCGTTCTTAAACTGTTTTATTAAAATAACATTTCTCTTATTTATAATCTACTATTACTATCGCCGCTACTGCCATTGACGCTGCTTTGTAAGGCATTGCGTTACATCCGCCGGTCACACGGTCGGTGGCTACTGCAAGGTGTTGAATTGCGGCTGTCGGTCATTCAGAAATCCAAACTGCATAGGTTGCAATTTTGGCAGTTCAAGAGACTGACTTAGTTAACTATTGTTAACTTACATACGTCTCTTATCAATTGTAAGTTCCAGATACTTTGCACTTGTGCTTGTTGGTAGCAACTACCCATATAAGGCCACTTGACATATTTCGTGCCTTATAGGGAAAATATTTGATAAAATCAATTAATCAGAGTATTAAAAACAACAATAACAATTAAAGAGTCTTCAAACATTAATATTATTTAATGACATACATATGTATGTACTTCTGTTAGTATGTACATACATACGTACGTAATTCGACCAAATACAATTTACAATTATTTTTATCGTTTCATTCAGCCTAAAAAAATTGACAAAACTAATTATAAAATACTCAAAAAAAGATCACAGAAAATATTAATAACTATTTGAAAATTAACATTCTTTTGGCTCACTAATGATTTCGATAGCACATGGATCAGCTTTCTGACTGCAGATGTGCTCACTTTCCGTTTCGATTTCACTCTCACTAACACCCTCACATGGTATGCACTCCACGCACTCGCCCTCTCCTTCTTCTTCTGCTTCGCCAACATATAAAATGCTACGCTGCAGCGTCAACTCCGTCGGCACTGTACTTAACGAGCAAACAGACACCTCGGAATCAGACAAAGGCAATGGTACAGGCTCTTGTGGCAATTGAGCATAATCATAACAGCAAATATCTTGGGCAAACCACTGTGATGGTAATACATCGACGTATACGCCATTCTCATTACGTTCAGTTTCGACTTCGCCGCCGAACTCTTCCGTATCGCCCTCATCACTTTTCTTAATTTTATACGCCATACCAGGCGTTTGAAAGAACCCCATCAGCATGTAACGTTGATCAAAAGTGAAGACAGCTGGACCTTGTGGGTACTCATTGTCCCAGGTTCCATGTAGAATAGTTGAACGATCTTCGTCTCCATAAAATATTTGGAATGGTCCCACACGAACTCCCATGCGCCATGTGCCTTTGAAACGTAGCTCTCCGCACTCTTCGGACTTAAAGCAATAGACACCAACACCGTGCCTCAGACCGCGGTACCAGTTGCCCATGTAGCAATCATTGTTAACGTACTTATAGCGTCCTTTGCCATGTTTTATATTCTTACGCCAACAACCCTCATACATACTACCGTCGGGATAGATGAAAATACCTCGACCGGAACGGTGCCCTAATGCAATTTAAGAAATCGATTTGACCGTTTCAACTAGTATTCATTTTAATTTGCTTACCGCATCGATAGGACCCGTAATAGCGTGATCCATCTTTAAATACGTACAATCCAATGCCATGACGCCTGCCCTGCCGATATTGTCCATCATATTGATCCCCATTGGGAAGTATGGCCCATCCGCGTCCATGGCGTTGGCCAGCTGCATTGCGACCGCCAATGTAAAGCTACGTAAACGCATAAGGAATATAATCTGTGGTTGACACATCTTTTTTAACTCACTCCGATATTTATGCGATCTTCTTCCTCTTCGGCTACGGTTAGCTCAGATTCGGTCGATATGTCCGAGATACTCATTGCAAATTGGAAAAAAACGAAAAATCTTCGGACTTTAAAGAATTTACGGACAATTATTTAGTGTATGTAACTGCAGAAGTGAAGTTCTGTTGGAGAAATTCTATTAAATTAAAACAAAGCATAAGAAAATATTGTGATTTTTGAAAACAGTGTACAAAATATTAAAAAACTCAAGGAAGGTCTCAGATTTCAAGAGTGTAAATATTGTTGGATTCTCTAGTTGTTAAGATTATTAAAAACAAGTAAGGAAGTGCACTACTACATATTTAAACATAAATGATAGTCTCTGAGTTTCAATAAAAAATCTCAGAGTCTTTCTGATTTTTCGGTCCAAAATCAGGTCAATACACTGATGTCGACATATTCGATATCTGGGGGCTTGCAAAGTTATGGTGCGTTTTTAAAAACTTTATTACTCTATTGTGCCCTCTCCTACAACACATGTATTCCCAAAGTCCCAGCACCCTGAAAAACTCCAGAAACCTGCTGGGTGCTATTGAGGTAATGAGATCCCTGTCCACATAAATGGAACCAAGGGCCTTGAGCCTGCGTCTACAAATTGCTGGGCAATCTAGAATCAGGTGTTCTGCTGTTTCCGGCTCCATGTCGCAGAACCGTCAGTTTCCACAAGAAGCTATGCCCATGTAGGACAGATGTTTCCTGGCATCTTCATTGGTGCTTAATTTGTATAAATTATATAAAATATAAAATAAAATAATTAGATGGAATTTAAAATTTTGTTATTTTGGAAGTAGGTGGGATTGTGGTCCGAATTCGTACTGCGACTTACACATTTATGCGGAATATTATGCACTAAATTTGGTTGAAGTCGGCCAAGTGGTTCCTGAGGTATAGGATTTCACCTAAAGCTTAGCGGTTCCACGCTCATTGTCCAGTTTAATAACGGCTCTTACAAAGTCCTTCCTTAGCATCTTCTGACATAGTTTGTTAGCGAGTTATCGCACTTTAACTTCGTTAGTTTTCAACATAACCGTTATATGAAGAGTTGGCGGGGTTATGAAGCGATTTTACCCATTTTTACACTGTCGAAAGAATATTTGTTTGGCAGACACACATGACTCATTTGGTTTGTAAGATATGTGCATAAAATCTGTTAGGCGATGGAACCACGGCCACTTTTTAAAAAATTTTACCGCCCGCCGGTGTTTTTCACTATTGCTATTCTCTGAACCATATTTCAGTTTTGTATTTTTTTTTACAGCTTAGTTATAACACTTTATACGTTTTCGTTTATTTGTCGGAACCGCCAATATCGTACCACTGTAGTATATAGCTGTCATACAAAGTAAACGATCAAATTCAAGTCCCCGTAAGGAAAACTTTTTTTGACAAGGTGTCTTCACGAAATTTTACTTGGATTATTGTTAAAGGAAACGTTTCAATTACCGGACATATTGTTCAGATCGGACCACTTTATCATATAGCTGTCATACAAACTGACCCATTAAAATCAAGTTCTTGTAAGAAGAACTTAAAACTACTTGCGTACAATAAATGCAAAAATACAAATGTAAAGGAGTCCAGATCTCTTATAAGAAACCGGGGGGAGCTAATTGCTCCCAAAAGCGAACAGCGTTCGGTACGAGCTCGAAGCCAGCCAGCATGAGGACAGGAGCGAAGAAGAAGAGAAGGGTGTAACGCCCGCAAAATCGTTTGCTGATATGACCCGAAACTGCATTATAATTGGTGTGCGAGATGAGGGAGATCACGATGGAGGAATCCAAAGATCCCAATGGAAATGGTGCTACTAAACAATCCGGATCCGCCACCGTCATGCACAGATGCCGGCTGGTACCAGGGCCAAATCAAAATGATTGCTTGCGACGACGAGAAGTCGCACTCTATAAAGCTGCTATTGCCAAGGTAGGAGTGGTATAACCCGGAGCTACATTGGTAGCGGTAGATAAAGGAGACATTCTCTCCGGACCAAGGTCAAGGGTCCCGATCACGGCCAGATGATGCAGCTCATAAGAGCCTGCAATCCGAGTCTGCCTACGGAGGGGTGGAAATCTATCAGCGCCTTCGAAGGCCCCGTAGCAGAATCTGGCTTGGTGACCAAAAGGGCCAAAGGGATCCATCGAACCGCTGGCGAAAAGTGGCAGGGAGATCAATTATGGATTCACGAAGGAATCACGACTTACAAGTCGAATGCCGGTGCTATAGACCACCTAGCATAGGATAACGAGATGGGCGAAGTTGAGAAAGATCCTATGGAGTCCTCGGGATCACTATGGAAGCAATACTTAAATATAAAAAAGATCCTCGAATATTCGAGCAAGCACTGGTTGTATTCCTAGTCTGCTATCCTCATTAAAAACAAATTGTTTAATAAAACAAGTTGGCAACTCTGCTTAAAGTTGTTTAAATGTACATTTTATACGAGTTAATGAGATTTGAAATGTATCAAGCTATTATTATAGTATTAAGGTAGAAATCATTCGTTAATATGTCAGTTTTTGAACGGATTCAACTCTTTTCAACTAAATTACGTTATAAGTCACAAGCTAACCATCTTAGTATAGGATCGAAATTATCGAACTTTAAGATTAGTAGCCACTTTTCATTTTTATAACTTTTTTGTAACATGTTAGAATGATAGGTCACCATACACCTTCATTATCCCTTACTTTTAATGCCACTTAAATCTCTCGGTTTAATCCAAATCCTTCGGGTTTGTTCAGCATTACTTATGACATACACGAAGTTAATTTTTTTCGTTTCTTTATTTGCACTTTGACATTAACTTAAAGTAGTTTTAGAGTTTTACAAACAGACTTATTATATTATTATAGTACATACTTATTTAATTTTTTGGTCTCAACAAAAATACATATCGTCTGACAAAATACCTAGTCAAGTACTATACATACATATGTACAGAATTAGGAATACTTCTTAGCATTAGGTATCATAAAAGTAGCTAGCCAGGGGATATCGTATAACCAGTGCACATACCGTACAAATCACTTGTAGGCCCATCAAAAATTGCGTAACAACCTTCTCGTGTACGGGTCCAAATACAACCAAAACAAGATTGATAAGCGTAAAATTATTGGTAATTACTCGGCCGTCACTTTGTTGTTGCCACGATATTAGTCTCAACTTTCTCAGCACAAACACCATTAACAATCCTAACTTGTTCAATTTCTCCGGATGAAATTCCGTCGTACTTATGTGTAGTAGATCTGTCCTAGCATCATACTTAGGCAAACGATGTCGTGGGCATGGCACGAAGTGAAAAAGTTGCGGCACTGAATACAAAAAGTTTAGAATTTGCGGCATGAAGAAGAGTAAGAGAGTTTTGCTAAAATGTCCCAATATTCCGACGACAGCAAATGTCATACCAGCAAAATAGCAATATGTATCACCGACAAACACTTGTGACGGATATCTGGAATTGAATAAAAAAAATCAAAAAAAATGATGTATGGAAATTTTACTAACTCTTTATAAATTAGTATTTTCAATATACAAGGTGTAACAAATATATTAGAACTACTTAGAGACTAAATATGGGACTCTTTCAAATTAAAATAAATATTAGCTTATGCTAATTTCACTCCAATTATTGTTTATGCAATTTTTAGTTTGATTTTGAGCTTTAAGTAATCAGTATTATTTAATTTTGTCGTCGTACTGTAATTAACAGCGAATACGAAAATCACAGTGAATAATTGCCCAAAGTCCGGTTGCAACCAAACGTTTTATATTTTCGCCAAGTAAAGTGGTGTAAAAGATTTCCGCATATATTTATACCCTAAATGATCGGCGGGACAAGCTGAGCATATTTAGCTATGTCGGTCCATCTGTATACACGCGAACTAGTCCCACAATTTTTGAGATATCGATCTGAAATTTTGAACACGTTCTTTTCTTCCCAAGCTCATTTATCAGAACCGACAATACTGGACCATTTTAGCATATAGCTGCCATACAAACTGAACGATCGAAATCAAGTTCTTGTAAGGAAAACTTGAACATATGAGGGGTATTATTGCTTTTTACTTGCGGGTTATTGTACGATTTTATATAAAATTGATTATAACTACAATACATATTATACATTGAGGAGTACGAAAAGAAATCGTTTTTTGACAAGGAATACCAAATTTTATTTTAAAAGTAATAAGTATTTTCAAATTTAAAAATTATATATTATATATATGTAATTTATATGTTATCTTTACTACCTGAAACATTTTTACAGAGATTCATATTCATATCTATCCAATATACATTTCATTTGTTCTTAAACTAATTTATTTCTATCTTACACTATCTTACACAAATTCTTATACGATAATAACAAATAACATAAACAGTTAAATAATTGTTTTCTGAACATTATGGATATGTTGGTTGAGAAATCATAAAGTTGAAATTTTTTGACAAAACTTTAGTTGTTCTCAATTCAAACAGTTCCCTGAACACTGGAGGAATAAAATTTTCTACAATGAAGAGTATCTCGACTGCGATACATAGTATGTATATCGAAGTTTTAGGCATTCTGGGTCGAGTATGAACAACAACTTTACTATATGTGGCACCCTGACTTATGAATAGTTATTCGCTCAGCCAGAACAACTGGAAATTGATTTCTTTCATTTGAAATCTGTAAGTTTTTTTTATATTGAAATGATTTAAGAGCTTTTTCAATTGGTGTCCAAGAACTTTCTAGAGGATAAGGCTTTTTTGATCGTATATGTATGTTCGTTTGATAACAGCAGTTAACACAGTAAAATTTGTTTGAATAAAGTGACTACTTTGGTACTCAAGAAATCTAGAGTAACTGAAAGTATGTTATACTCATATTTATGGTATATTTTTGTGCATAAACATTCGTTCTTTTGTGTACCTTTATGTCACGTAGATATACAAATGTACATTAGCAAAATACTATATATAATACTTAGTTAGGTGTGTTTAGGCGTGTGTTTCTTAGAAATCAGTAATTTATTTCATTGTATTTAATGTTAGAAGTTGAAGTGTAACCGTTTTGTTGTTTACAACTACGGCCGGTTTACTCTGTTTCCTCTTCACATGCATTTACCCTTGAATTCAACACTCTCTGACAAATGAATGGGAAACGTAACAAAACAAATAAGAGAAAAACTTTCTCAAACCCCCCATTGTCAGCTGCTCAAGAACAGGCCGACAGCCGAACCAGCTGATTGGTTTATCGTACATCTTATTCGTATTCCTTTTGCAGCAAGTCAAGAAGTGGAAGATTTTCTTGGGTGTGTTTTCGCAGAGAATGTTGCAGAGAAAAATAAATGCAAATTAACTTAAAAATTCGGACATTCGTTAAACATAATTAGATCCTACTATGTAGAGTGAATATTTTGTGATATCTTTGTATTATATATGTATCACAAATGACAAATGTTTCAACGCAACGGAGCAAATGCCACAACTCGCCTCGCGTGCAACCAGCATCTCTACTCAGACATTGAAATGCCAGATGTTGCAAGTTCAACTACAATTGGAGGCAAGACAACTTTAACTAAGAAACTACTTCTTACTTTATTGGTACTTGCCCAGATATGTTTCATTTCTTGCCTATGGTTGTTACAGCTAGGAGATGGCCTCAATACCAGCTTAAATGAGGTAACTGCGCAAAATGGTAACACCAAAGGCTTTGCAACTAATACTGACAACTTAGCTAATAAGCCACGCAGGGGAACATTGCATGGTATGAGACGTGTTAATTTTATAACCAATTCCGTAAATGTTAGTTTAACCGATACTGCGGTCAGTAAAGGAGTATTAAAGCACGAATTATCGCAAGCTGTGATCGAAAAGAGTCAATCAGGGAAAGAAAGCAATTTTAGAAAAGACTTTTATCTTAAACTGAACAGACTGAATAAAACCATAGAATATAGAAATAGAAGCGGGTTTTTGCCTGAGTTGGACAACGATGTATTGTGGTGCTTCCGTAAAGGAAGTATCGACGAACAATCTCAAATATCGAATGATGAAGCTGCACAGGATGTTGTACTTTCTTGGGAGGAAGAAAACACACAATGCAAGTGTAGAGCTGGTTGGCATGGGCGTGATTGTGGACAACCAGAGGTTATGTGGCGTGCATTGTTAACGTCGAAATCACATTTTCAACTGCAACACCCAACTAAGACGAGGCATCCCAATCGATTAGTTTACTTGTTGGAAGGAAATTTTTTTAATTTGGATTTACTGGATTTACAAATAAGTATGCTCGCCGATATAGTTGACTATTTCGTAATATATATAAAGCCAGCACGAAAGGATTTTAAAACAATTCAGCACTGGTTAAAAGAAACGCTCCCAGCTAATAAATATATGATTTACCAGTGTGACCAAGTGTATACGTTAAATAAAGATAACTGTACCATCAAACAGGCGTATGCACATTTCCGTCAACAGCTGCAGCACAACCAACTCAAACTATTACCACTAAAATCAAGCGATCTGATACTTTATACCGACGATCGTGTGTTACCATCACCGGAAGCGCTGCAATTTCTTAAATATTATGCAAAGGATGTACGTAATGTACTTTTTCGACTGAAGTATGTCGTCTATGGTTTTTATTGGCAACATCCAAAACAAACCTATCTTAATGGTCTTATAAGTTCCTTTGTCCATATGGACAACCCAAGCCAAATAAGTGGTGACGAAAGTGATTCATCAAAGATATTTGAAATAAGCCTTACAGCAAATAATCATCCAGCACCTTTTGTCATCGGCGATTTAAATCACTTTGGCGGCTGGTTTTGCAAATACTGCCAGCAGCCGGAAGAAATTGTCGCCGAATTACAAGCTGAAACTAGTTCCTTGACACAAGTTCAATTTGCCGATACTGTAAGAGATCACAATATTGATGTGGCCTATTTACAAAAACTTATTGCAACCGGGGTTTACGTTGACGGGAAAATGCAGCTTCTGCGCAATCGTCGATATTCGGATAAATACTTTGCTCCCGCATTGGCAGAAACAGATAATTCAAAATATGGAAATCTATTGGTTAATTTATTCGAGTCATTTGATGATGACATTGAATACGAAGCCGGAAATTACTAAGATGTGAGAAATGTCATAATATTCTTGCCTTGGCGCCTACAGACCGCTCCAAATTGTGAAACATTCAAAATATGTTTAGTTGAGTGAAATTCCAATATTAAAAGAAAATTTCATTTAACAATTTTTAATTTAGTTACTTGTCAAAAATAGATTGGAGTGTCATGAATTGTGAAAATCCTTCAACAGCTTAATCATCATTTCAGCTAAATATATATGTATACATAAGAAGTTATTCAACTCTTGTGCCTAATAAGTTTAAATCGAAATTATTCTTATCATAAGTATCATTTGTAAAAAATTTCTTCAAGAAAATACAAATAGTTATTTCATCATATGAACCACTATTCGCTGGATAACATCAAGATGACACCAAAAATAAGTTGGGATCATCATACATATTCAAAAGTTTTGTTCATGAAATGAATTTACACTCATTACTACTAGTTATAGTAAAAAATTACTACTTTTTTTTTTTAAATCGAATGTTTATCAACAATTTAAAAATGCAATATGATTCTGCAGAGCTCCCGAAAATTAAAATTTTAAAGTGCTTGTATTTTATCATACATTACTGATGTCTTAGATGGGTGTATGCACAAGAATTATTAATGCTGCAGTAAAAACATATCAACAATAACCTTTGTTAAATGAAATTAATAAATAAATAATGTAATATGAATTATGTATTATACCCATTTTCTTATACCATAATTATTAAAACTGAAAATACAGACTATTATATCTACGAATGTGGTAGATCACGCATAGCTTATTAAAAATCAATTATAATTATTGAGGATTCAAATTTTATATAAAATGCTGTGATAAAGTTATTGGGATTAGAAACTAAAATGATTTTTTTTAGTTATTAAATATATTTATGGAAATTCAGGCATTGTTAGCATTCTTCAGCTGCATTTTTTATACATCCCAAAATATATATTTATATTTATAATTTCATAGACAATTATATCTCGTACAAAAGCATTTGTTAATTTGTAACACCATTTATAGCTCCAATAATTAATTTCATACAAATACATATTTGCATTTGATATACACAGTGAAATATCATCATCCAATTAAAATTATAAAATTCAAATTCAAAATGTATTATCATGGTTATTAATAATATATGTATGTACCTAAATTAAGGAAAAAAAAAATCAATAAATAAATCATGCTTCACTTAATGTGGCTTCCGTATAACTCATTTTTGTCAACTTGCATTTTATATTAAGGATGCTAGGAACAAGTTAAAAAAAAATACAAGAAAAAACCTTGAATTATATTTTTATGGCATAAAAGGGTATATAAAAATCTCTTCATCTTGACTTTGATCAGTCAGTTTGTATGACAGCTATAGTGGTCCGATCTAAAAAATTTATTCGGATAAGAAGGCGTTGCCTTGGGCAATAATTCAAGCGAAATTTCGTAATGATATCTTGTCAAATAAAAAAGTTTTTAATACAAGAACTCTAGTTTGATGGTTCAGTTTGTATGGCAGCTATATGTTATAGTGATTCGATCTAAACAATTTCTTCGGAGATTGCACCATTGTCTTGCACAATAACTCATGCCAAATTTCCCTATCTCTTCAAAGGAAGAAGTTTTCTGTACAAGCACTTGATTCCGAGTTTTAAAACGATATCTCAAAAACTAGAGGACTAGTTCGCATATACCAGACAGGTGAACGTTGATCGACTCAGCTCGCCACGCTCATCATTTATATACAAATTTTATAGGGTCTCCGACGGGTGTTACATACTTCGTGGCAAACTTAATATGCCCTGTTCAGGACATAAAAATATTTGGAAGTTTAGTGAAATTCATAAAAGCAAGTTTTGGATACATAATAATAAAGGACGTTCATAATAATATATACCAATATATTCTACTAAAATGTATAAAGTGTACTCACTTATTGTACTTCCAAAGCGCAAGAGAAACCGCTAAAAATGGAAGCATTAGATAAATCGAGAACTTATGACAATCAACTTGGTGCCCAAGCGCCAATTCAATGATATTGAAGCATAAAACGGATGCGCTAATTACAATAGATTGACCAACTTCTAGGCCGTTGATTCCAGCTAAGATGTTTATTGCATTTGTGCAAAACACGGCAAGCATACCCATATAGATATAATAGAAAATGCCTGCAAAAAGAGACATACATATTATTATATGTGCAGTTAGTATTTCATTTTATTCAAAAGCTACTTTACCAATATCTAACGAATATCCCAATAGTGGTCTAGCAAACTTTGGCATTATTACCGTTGTAATGTTAAAATTCACATAGTAAACCATTAATAATGGCAATGTGCCCATTGTTGGTAGGAGTAATTTGTGACGCCAACGCAGGTCTAATACATCATCAGCGAAACCAAGAAGAATCATACAACAAATAGATAAGAGTGCTGCAATCATCTCAGCAAACTGTAAACCAATAATTAAAGGTTGAGCTGACTTGATCGTTAACGTCATACACATGTTGTAACGAGAACTTTTTGTGGTTTAATTACCTCTTCATGTGGAAAAGTTGCAGGCTTCGCGCCGGTTTTTACGTCAAGCAATGCAGCCTCTTCGAATGTAAATGGAATCGGTATAAAGAGAAACATAGCCACAAGAAAAGCGCATCCAATTAATACCCCAAATGATTCTGGTCTAAATGAATAATAATATTGATTCCTTCAATGTAGTATAAAAAAATCAAAGTTATATACTTACATTTGAGGTTGTTCGCGCTTACAAAGGTCTTTCCCATACAAGCCGGCTTTAATAAACATATCTTTGAACCTTGGGATCATTCGAATAGTAGAAAGATAAGCGCATACGGCGATTAAACCGCTTATAGCTATCGTAATTCCACTCATTTCAAACAACTTCTGCGGCTAAGGTTTTACGGAAGTATATTTACGGTTTTAAATCTTGTTAGTGTTTCCAAAATTCTACTAATTTAATTAAACCTTCCCTTATATATACGTGGATTTGCCACCAAATTTTCAAATCGTATGCACTGATAAAAAAGTCTGTCAAAATCAGCTGTCCTAAACAACGGCAAACAAAAGCTATAATCGATAACCAGCGAATAGTAATCAATTAATCGATTTGGTTTTTAAAAAAAAATAGAGTTTTTGATGCATGAAAATTTTTTTCCTTATGTTATGGATATTTACATACATAATTGTACATTACCTAAACAAAAATTGATAATAAAATTCCAATTTGTATATATTAATTTGAAACTGATGAAATTTCAAGAACTGAAAAGAATTTAAAAACAAGAGCACAAAGCGTGCCACCCGAGCACGAGCGACACCGTTCCCACGACAGTCGCGTCTATCCGGCCAAAGACTGTCAACTCAGCAGAAATTTGCCGCTACAACAACAGCAACAGCACGAGCGGCATGGTCCTTCGTTTTTCCTCGTGGTTCCCTCACCCAATAAATAAACGGTTTGAGTGACAAAAGACTCCGCGTGTGAACATAGTTATACTTGTCGTAATGTGATTCTATACATATGCCTTTGTATTGCGGTGTGACTTCCGGTTTCAATAAAATCAAATAACTGTCAACTGCAAAAATCAAAGTTATATACAATATATAATAAACAGGGTATATTAAGTTTGCCACTAAGTTTGTAATACCCCGAAAATCCGTCGGAGACCATATCAGCGTAAAGAGCTGAGTCAATTTAGCCATGTCCGTCTGTCTATCTCTATACACGCGAACTTGTCCTTCAATTTTTGAGATATCGATCTGAAATTTTGCAAACATTATTTTCTCCCCAAGAAGCTGCTCATTTGTCGAAAGCGAAACCGATATCGGACTACTATACCATATAGCTGCCAAACAAACTCACCGATCAAAATTAAAATAAAAATCGTATACCTTTTTATACTATAAGAAATGGACCTATGAAGGGTATTATGGCTTTGTTGTTAACGTTTTTTCTGAAGTTAATGTTTTTCTTGTGTATCATTCATTTTAACCCCCAAAATTTTTTTACTGTAACCATGATTCATGAATCATGACTGTAACCGAACATAAAGACACATGCTTACTGTTTTCAATTATTTAATTCACATACGTTTGAAAATAGAATCATTTCAAATTGAATACCAATTGTATCTATTACAACTTTTTCACGAAATTTAGGGAATAATCAATAAATAATATAACGAGTTCTGCATCTAATTCTAAATTCGTGAATTCGTAAACTAACACACTAACAAATATCGCATATAATTATGAGTACAAAATCTACAAAAGAGTTCGATGCAAGTCAATTTTTAAAGCTTTGTAAGTATTCAAATTCAGAGCTTCAAACCCGACAACGCCAATATAGAAGGGTCTTAGAAGCGCGCTTGCCTAATGTACGAAATAAAAATCTGCAGATTGAGACCTATAAACATGGGTGCAAGAGAATGAAAACCGAAAAGGAATTGTTAAAAGCAAAGATTTGGACCGCGTCGGGAAAGTGCCACGAGGTCAAAAATGGTCAAGCGCTTACTTCTATCAAATGCTTCATTGAATGTAACGTGTCTCTCAACGAAGAAATTCAAAAAATGAAGTTATATATACACAATCTAGATCACAAATTGAGTGTGATAAATAAAGATATTTGTCATATTAATATGATACAATTCCAAAAGAGTCGAAAGGACTTAGAAACTGCCAAACGATCGCTGCGACTCTTGGAGGATCAATATGAAAATCAGATCCAAATGGAATGTAAACTTACGGCGTTAAGTGAGAAGCTCCGTCTAAATATCTGTGAACTAATTAACGATCGTAGTCGATATTATTCGTTTTACACAAAATACATACAACGATTAACCAGCGAAAATAAATACCTTACGGACCTCATTGATTTTGCACTAGATCAAATTGAAATTGGTATCGATATGTATGAGAAATTAGATAATCAAAGCAAAAACTTTGTGCATGATTTGGAAAAGCGAAAGGTTGAAATGGAAACTCTTAAACGTATTAAAACTGCTACCGAGAAGATGTGGGAATTCCAAGAGAAAAAACTTGTAAAAAGATCACTAACTACCATACCAATAAAGGAAATTAACCGCCGTGAAATTTGGCGAGAAAAATATATGAAGAAACTTAACCTCTACAACAAGATCTTAAAGAAAATTCTAAACTACACCAAAGCGTTAGACATTAAACATGTCATTGACAAATTCCAAGAGCAAGAAAGCCTTTATTATTCTTTCTCTAATCACTCCAATGAAATCAGCTATCGTATAACACTATTGAACAATTCTGTGGCGCGTCTTTTCGCTGAACTACAGGATCTAAAGATTGGCAATCGAAATATGGTAAAGTCCCAAAACGACATGATCGAGAAATTGAAAAATGTGTTGAAGGTAAAACGTTTAAATAATGCAAGCCTCAAAAGAAAGGCCCACTCACAAGATGAACGTATTAAAAAATTGTTCGAAGGATTGCAATTGATACGTGATCAAACACTTGTAGATATATCCATGTTGGCAAACGATTTCGAAGATCAGAAGGAGATTAACATTACGATGATGCGCGAACAAATGAAATTAATTGAGAAACGTATACAGTCGTTAGTATGTGCAATATACGCAATCGAGCGACAAAAAAATCGTGGCGTCTTTACCACGGTATATCTTGTGAGAGATTTATATAAAGTAATTGAGGCGCCGACGGAACTTGATCAGATAGTACCGGCTACACAATGCGCTGAATGTGCCGAGGGCGATGCCAGAAATGTGGACGAAGCATGGAACCTTAGAATCATGCCCCTTAAAGAACTAAAAGTCTGGGTATCTGAAAAGGTTGGTCAACCCGAACTTCAATACCGTTTGCATAACATCAATCAATGTCGTTTAAGTCGTTCACGTTCGCGTAGACAAACTCTTTTACACAATTAATAATATAAAATGGCATTTAATAGTAATTTATATAAATCAAGTAATGAAAAACCATGGAAAAATATTTTGAATTAAGCCAACTAAACTTGTATAAACCATTGAATAAATAATAAAATTTCAGCAAGCACAGCGCGCATATAAGAGACACTCCTAACAAAAATAGTAAAATGCTTTATTTCATAACATATTTGTTCTTCCACCTTAAGAAGGGGTTTTGTGGTCGTTCATAAACAAAGTTTCTGGATAGCTTATCTCAGAGGAAGTCAAGTCGGTTCTTCCGATATTTCTAATTCTTCCACCACTACAGGATATCATTCTTGTTGATCTCATTCACTGTTATCTACCTAAGTAACCATAACTACTCTACTTAATAGGTTGGCCCACAGCATAATATAATTTTGTATTAGTCAATAATAAATACTTCTCTCGAGTTTCTCGGAAATATATATTTTAAATATCATTTCAAGGACAGTAAGACCTATAATTAATCGAAGTGGGCCGAATTTACAAGTATGTTATTAAAATTTTAATTTTGTTGACAAACCCACATAATAAGTACATACCAAATCCACAACAGCCGGTTCTACGTTACCGGAATTTGAATCGAATTTTATCCAGCCTAAGGCTGTTATTTCGTCGATCTAGTCCTGTTTGGATCGGTAAGTTTTAGGTTAACACCTAGCAGCAGTTGAGTACAACTCAAGCCCGGAACTTTTTTGCTGCGTTTACGCCAAAAGGCTCTATCCAAATTCCACCTCGGTTAAGTGAAATACATACAAGACACATAGGAAATGGACCACACGTTATTTGTCGTCATGCTGCGACAACTTCTACGGCTATGCAAATTGCACCTAGTTCTCACATTGCGCCGCCACTCCAGTGGAGTGGCCAACAAAGGACCTATACGGCAGAATGACTCCCAGTCTGATAAGTCACGACCTAACTACCCAGTCAGCAGTGTCAAGCTCGAAATATTTATTATAAACATGAAGTACAATATCTAACCAAGGTCCTCAACCTGTCGTTGACCGCTCTCCATATACCCAATGGGCAGAAAGTCGGAAGAGAAGAAAGTGGACCATATATTATTGCCATCAACTCATTCACAGATGATTGTACGATATTGACATCAGACAATGGAATTTATTTCATGTGTTCAAAAGTAAACAGCTATTTCATAGATCTTTCTCGCTTCTTCTCACAAGAAGCCCAGCACTCTCTACCACTAAATTCACAGTGACCATATTCACGAACTAGATGAAGGAGTCAGACGGGATATCAAACCCTTAGATTTTTGGCGTTACACTTGACAGCCTGTGTACCGATCAAAAACTACGAAGCATCGATATGGTCGCCTTGATGTAGTGAAACGATTTGCAGGATACCTTCTAATGTCACCCGCCGAACACCTAGTGGGATGTTTTCGCAGAAATCATCCTGAAGTAAACTGCGGAAAACGGAGCCGCTTAGAAGCATCCTTGATTACGTCGACGATATAGAACAGTACCCCGACCAGACTACGTACGCAACTAACTGCAGACACGCACTGGACGCCAGCGCCCAAGAGGAGACATCAACCCATCAACCCCGTCCCCACGACAGTCGGGTCTACGTAACCGGAATGGACCCGGATTTTATCCGATCAAGGACTGTCAACTCGGCAGAATTCTGCCGCTACAGCAACAACAACAGGAGACATCAACACCTTCACCCACTCCCTTCCAGTAAATGGTATACTTGCGAGTCAACCCACCACACATTGCAGATGAACAGCTCGAGTTGCGCCGTGAATTCAGAGAGACCTTTCATCTAACAACTCTCTCCCTATGGTTAGATACAACAACAACAGTATGTCCGTTGCTCAATTGCCTCCAACAGTAGAAACTGAATGTCCTAATGAATACCGCAAGTAAAATGCAATGCAATGAGCGTTTTAAACATTTTGGTTCTTCGCCTTGTCAAAGTCATACCAGAAGCAGTTCTCATTTCCACAAAACGCATAAATTATTTCTATTTCTTATTTAAAACTTTTATGTTGATTTGTTCGGTAACATCATGACTTTTATAGTAGTTTGCTGTTATTACTCGCTATTTTATTTTTTAAAGTATAATATAAAGTTATTGTAATATTTGTTTGTTTTTTTCTTTCTTTTTTGTAGATTATTTACAAATAAATCAAATAAGTGGCTAATGAGAACGCCCCACTTCGCTCGCAGACTGAGGCATGCGGCTGCTTACATGTGTGGATGATCTGAGGAAGTGTGAGGGCGTGTTTCGCGTATTTTCTTATTTATACAAATTCAGAGTGTTAAAATCGTGTAAATCATAAACTCGTGTGTATTAATGATTTATCCTTTACAATTAGTTTGTTATTAATTCTATACATATATATGTATGCATATACTTAAGTTGGTGTGTTGTTGGCATTCTAAATCTGATTTTGTTTCATGATTTGCTCTTTCGCACTAGCATTCTACTCTGATGAGGCGGTGTGGTTATATTCTACAATTTGTGTTGATTTTTCTTTACTTTAATTATTTTATTTATTCACTATCCTAAGGGAGTAAGTTGCCGAAAGATTTAACTCTCACACACATACATAAATGTTAACCTTGCGTGGAACTGCAGCAGATTTGCCAATTGCATCTATGCATCTGTGTATGTATACACGGATTGGTAGTTAGTTTACAATAGCACTTGAGTTTCACAAAAACTGAAATTATTCCCTGATTGTTATATTTCTAATCAATTCGTCGCATATATGTATGTATGTAGTCGCATTTCTTAATATCTTATCGCGAGTGCCGATCTTATAGTAGCGTCTTCGAATGGTGGCTTCTAATTACACTAATTTACGATATGTAGTCAAGTAGAGTATGGGCCGATCAAATGCGGATTACACAAAGCTATATTAGTGGTTACTCATACTACAACAAATCATATTAATTATGCAGTCAATTAAATGAGTTATATTTCAAAGTGAAAAATTATTTCGCGATATTTGCAAAAACAAACAAAATCAACACAACTGAGTCAAGTTGGTGGGTTTTATAAAATTGTTTACATATCGACCAAATCTATTTGTACTGCGAAATGCTTGTGTAATCTACCAAAGTGTTTAAAGCAATTCGCACCGTCAAAGAAATCGAAATTACGAAAGATATTTTCTAGATTATTTACTTCAGCGCATTGAGTTCCAGATAACGAAAGCATAAAACGTTCATATTATGTGCGACAGCAAATTTTTGAAAAACATACTTAAACAAGAGATTTGTAAATCACCACCATTATTTGTATTTACCACTTTCAATTTTTGGTTGATAAATTTTGCAAAATAAAATTAGTAATTTTTTCAGCAATAAATAATTGTTTCATATAAAATATTTACACAAAACTTTTCAGTATGCAAGTATATTGTTTTCAAATTCAAATTTGATTATAAGGGAAAGCTACAAAATATTTTATTCGATGAGCAAATGAGCAACGCGACTCCACTGTTGGGAGTTAAAGTGGTGGTGCAACGATTCTTTTTTTTTTTTTGCATTTGAGGTTATGTTATTTAGCATATATAATGTGGATTTTATTAAAAGGCATTTATATTGCGTGGTTATTGTTGTGTGTGTTTGTGTATGTGTGTGTGTTGAGAGTATATCTTACAAGCTTTTTATGCCTAACGGTAGAAAACATTGTATTGTTACAGTGGTAATTGATTGTAATTATGCAATTGTTATAGAATAAATTATGTTTACTGTTTTCATTTAAAATTGTTCTCAGTCTACGAATGTGTTACATTTTTCGTTCACCTCGTTTTCTTATTGACAGAAAAAAATACAAATACACAAAATTATGTATACATAAAGGTAGTTTTTTTTCTTCTTTTCGTTTTATAACTAAAATAAAGTTATTGTGTACTAGGTATTTAAAATATGTATGAAGTGAAAATTATATCAAATAAGTATCTATTCTATGTAATTAAAGAAAACTGTAAATAATAATATTTTCAATTTTTCATTATTAAGTTTCCTATCTTTTAACTTCTACTTTGTTGCTGCTAAAAATCCTTTGTCTATTTCAACTGGTTTTTACTTAACAAAATTTTTACTCATTTACTCTAAAATTTTCCAATTGACAGCAAACTCATCTATGATCATTTTATCCCAACGAACGCACATCATGCTTTTATGAAGTGTAGCATGCATCTGAGGCACTCTCATACTTCGTACTATGCCCGTGTTATCTCGGATATACAAAGTGGTATACTTAAGAGCTACAGTAATCATATTAGATACGGTACAATATTGTGACGAATTGCTAGATGTGAGAGCTTTAGACGAAATGTTGTTGGCTTAGGTGGTTTTGATGTTACTCTTTGATGCGATCGCTTCAAAAGGCACTATAAAAACGTTTTGTTTGCCTTATGCAATCTGGATTTACCAGGGTTAACTCTGCATTTAAGCTGCTGTATCAAATCGGATATTTTAAGCGCTGGACCCACTTTCATGCCAAGTAAAGTAATTATTTCATCCTTAGATAGTTGCAGCAAACGTTTGCCATCGATTTTATTACGCAAAAATGTGTCACAGTGTGCCGTACAATCATTGACGCGTAAAAATTGCGAAACGTCATATACATTCCACGTATCGGGTATGAGGTCTGCTTGTGGGTCCGCGTTTTGACTGTTATTGTTACTGCCACTACTGCTGCTGTTGTTTTCGTTCGAAGAGGACTCGATAAGCCGCGGAATGTACTTACTATTGCAGACGGATGAGTTCTACAACAATAAGCGGGGTGAGAGGAGATTATAATTAAAATTCGCAGGGTTTATAGTAAATACTAAACTTACCCCAATGTAGCTGGTAGCTTTGCGTCCCACAACCGGCGGTGCTGGCGACACCGATTTCTTTACAGCTGGATTGCCGCATCGCGTTGGCGCGGATGCTTGGACCGTGGATGCTTGTTGCGCTGTGGTGATCTTTTCCGTCAAAGCCAGCTGGCTGCCATCGTTATGTGATAGTGGGGTGGATTGACCGGAGCGATGACTGGTGCTGTCCTCTTCATAGTCGCCATCATCGTCGTCATCCTCATTATTATCCTCGTAGAAAGCGGCATTATGATGTTCTGGCTTAAGTTCGAGTTTTATACTCAACTTCGGAAGATGCGGATTTGTTTTTAAAGCAATTGTACGTGGTTTTGCTATCATATAAAATATAAAATCTTATCTTATAAACCTTTTATTCATTGATATAAATGTCTTAATATACCTGTATTTGAATTTTCTACGCCTTTAGCAGTGGATTTTTTCTTGCGTTTTTTCGGACTTTTCGCTTTGGTGTTCGTTTTGGCTGTAGCCTGCACAGGCACCGGCGGACCTTCCAGTTTGTGATTAACCAGCACACACCAACCTACTGGATAAACATCAGGTGATTCGCAATCTAACCATTGGTCATATTCATCGGTCCACCCGTCGAAGTGTATTTTAAGCAAACGCCCGACTATGCGTGACACAGTCGCTACACATACCAAACGTGGGTCCATAAGATCAGCACATTCGAGGCTCATGCCGACCTAAATATGGTTATAAGTGACAGATTAAATATGTTTATTTCACATGTATATTATTTTTAAACTTACCCGAAATCCGTGATTTGGCACAATCCGGTGGAATAAATGCTGACCAGCAGCAACGCTACCCGTTTCTTGCAAATATGTTTCCCAACTAAACGTATTGACATCATAGCCATTGGGTGGTGTCAAAGTGATGCTGTTTGAAGCGCAGAAGCCGACTGGGAATATGCTGGGAGATTTTTCGTGATAGCAAAACCTGTAATAAAGAAAACTAAAATATATACTCTTTATACATGTAAAAGTTTACAGCTATGAGCTCACCAATCTGACCCTGTTGCATCTGGTTGATAAGAATCGATGCGTATCATTATGTAACCAAATTTAAGGACGGCCATTACCGTTGCAGCACAAATAGATGAAAGATTGAGGGGATCGACTGCCTCCAATTTCATGCCTTCCACAAAACCATTCCCTTTGCCATCCATGTAATATTCTTCGAAAGTGAAATTCATTTTGAAAAGCTCAATCGTTGCATCATCTTCATGTACCTCAATCATTGCCTCTCGGCCAGCTACAGTATAAACACAAATGCGAGTTATTGAAATAAACATATGCAAATAAACTAGCCGACAACAAATCTTACCCAACATTCGTTCTAAATAATCATGCGGTGCCGCTAAATTGTGACCCACGGTAGTCGCCCAACCGACCGGATGTATGATGGGCGAGTCCTCATGACACCAAAAACCGTCATCAGAGTCAAAATATCGCAAAAACAAACGCTTGCCTACAATTTTTGTCACCGTTGCCAAGCGAACCTGTGAGATTCGATCCTTATCCACACACTCTAAATTCAAGCCCAGACGGAAGCGCGACTGCATGCTGTCATTGATTTTGTTATAAAAGCTGGAAGGCAGTGTACGTGCGCCCGACAATCGTTCCACAAGGAAATCCTTCCAATCTTTGTATTTATTTTCGATAGTACGTGGCGGTATTAGAGGCTTGCCACGCGTCGCACACCAACCAACTGAGTGTACTTCCGCGTTGCATAGATTTACCCAGAAGTCATGTGTGGGCTCATCAAAGCCTGGAATAATAGAAAAAAAATGTTCGATTTCATTTAATTAAAAATTTCTTTGCATAAGGAGTTACCCACCTTCGTAACGCATAAGAGCTTTGTATCCGCAAATATTTAAGATCGTCGCAACCCAAAACGAGTGTGGCGTCTGTCCGGGCTGCACCACTTCCGTGTTATCACAATCTGTATTCTCCACCTCAACTTTCATGTCGATGCCAATGCTGTCCCAAACTTCATAGCCGGGTGCATGTGGAAAGCAAGTAACGGGTGCAGCGAAAAAATTCGGATGCGATAAACGCGGCGTCCAATCGAAAGAATGCGACGGATCGTACATACGACGACGTATACTAATGATTTTTTCCATTTGTGGGCAGGAAACTGGTAAACGTTCAAATTTTGGAATTTGTGGCAGGTCCTCTTGTGGCAATACATCACGGTACATTTGAAGTGCCTTTGGCGTAGCAACTAAGCCACTCGCATTTACACTACATAAGGCTCCATTCTCACTATTTAAACCTGTTAGTGCTCCTGCTCCCTCCATACCTGTCAATTCGGTGGACATGACGGGTTCGCCAAAACCGTTGATTTGTGTGATTTTCGATTGGTCTGTGATGCGAAAACGATAATTCGAATTCTTAATATGAGCAACACGTAACGCCAACTCAATATCAGATTGTTGAGGTTGTGTATCGTGTTGTTGTATGTCGTTGCTATTACCATTGTTGCTTCCAGCTGCACCATCAATGTGATCTTGCACGGGGGAATTGGAAATCGTCTGTTGCTGTTGTTGCGCACCACCTGCCATTTTAGTATTGTTAACTACCAAAGAATAAAGTTCGCCACGAGCACAGGACATGCTGCAAAAACGTCGAGATTTGGTGTAAAATGTGTGCTTTACACCGATTGCACCGCAACGCTCACAGACGGCTGGAAAAAATATAGAAAAAAGAAATGCAAAGTGTTAGCAATTGAAAGTAAATAAGAAAAAAAAACTTAACACCATTTCCTATATAAGAAAGCATGAAAAACTAACCTACAAAAAGGTATATGATGCTAATATTATTTTATCAAATTAAAAGACGTACTGATTATAAAAAATTGCTAAAGCACCCTAATAAGTGCATCTCGTATCATTATCTACTTGTGTTCTTCTTTACATTAATAATTAATTTCTCAGTTGTCATATGGAATAGGAAACATTCAATGATTTTTGAGCGCAAATTACTTTTATATTGCGCGGGATCATATCAAATCTAATTGTTGAATGCTATAATACTGAATATATCACTATGACGTTGCTAGAATGTTAGACCACTTTCAAGTTAATTCTATATATGTATTTGTGTTATTATTTTTTTCTTTTAAGTTAATTTAAACCTATATAAGTGGAAATTTATTAAACGAAAATTAAATGAATTGATTTTCAAAATCAATAATTAAAAAAAAACATACCCATGCCGTCTTTTTGAATTGGTATAACCGATGGATCTATGTTCCCCTTATATGCTATTGGTGTCTTCAGCACCAGTCCTGGCCTGTTAACTGGTTCTATTTTTCGAGTCTTACGTTGCGATGAGCGATGGTGTCCCGTTCCTCCACCTCCACCAAATCCTCTTGATGAGGTTGCCGCTGTTGCTTGCATTACGGCCGTTGTGGTGGCGGGCACCATCACCTCATCGCCAGTATCGCCTATTAACTTGTGTCCACTATCCAAAGGAACTAGGACACCATTCTCATCCATGCCATGTGCATGGGAGATATCAACGCCACCACTACTGCCTTCTGCCACTTCTCTCTCGTCAGCCATAAATTCTGTACCATCGTACGAATTAGAATCGGTCATCATAACGAAATCATCAATATTTATAATTTCCTGTTTTGGTGCTAAACCACCATCATAACTACCGTCATCCAATTGATCATAGATTGGTTGTGGATCATCGTTATGCACAAATTGAGTTGCTAATGATTTGTCTACGCTGACATTGCCATCACCACCTATTACGCCGCTTCCAGTGCCATCATCATCGTCTATAACTTCTGTGTAGTTTTGAAAAACAGCAGCGGCCGATTGTTGTAGTAATTGCTGATGCAAACCACCTACTTGTGCTAGACCGTAAATATCGTTGGAATTGGCCGCAATTAGAGCTGTCGGTTGTACGCCCAATGCAGCCGCTGCTGCTGCTGCCGCCTGACCACTGAAATCCCCCCCAACAATGCTCATCATTGGATTCAAATCCTTTTAGTTTTCATTTTTGTTTTATTAGACAAACAGGAAAACCAATCGCATTAGAAGTTATATTTGTATATACATCCGTTGATACCGTAGATATATTTCGTTATATTGTGTAAGTGGTTGCATATAATAATTAACCCGATAATGTTATTCAAGTCGAAATAGATTTTTATAAATTGCGGTAGTTTCAGGTATTATTTTTATTTTTCGATTTTTGGGGAGGAGTAAATGATCAAACACAGCAAGAAAAAAACATATGAAAAGAAAAAGAAAGATTTTGAGAAATAAATGAGTGAAATTATAGTAAATAAGTTGCAATTGAAGATTTTAAATTCAATCGTAAATGAAATGTACTCGATTCTAAATGATCCATATGTAACAATCGCTCAATTACTTATTTACATATGTATGCATGTATTACCATGAAACATGTTTGTGAAGTATATTAGCTTAAAAGGCTTTACTTTACATACCATTGTTGGTTGATGTGAGGATAAATCGTCCATTACAGAAAGACCCACTGATGGATGACCAAAGAATGAGGGTGCATCCTCCACTGTGATGCGTTCTGGATTATAGTGACTCATCCACATCATACGCAGCTCGGAGGGATTCATTTTAAGTAACACTCAGAAATATTTTGTCATTTATTATTTCCAAATTTCGAACAGATTTGTAGGTGAAAGGATTTCGTCTTTAACTATAACATATATTGTAATTGTTTAACGTGTTTTATAAAATGTTTTATATACAAATTAATTCAAATTAAATAATATTATTCTTTTATTAACAATATAAATGGGCGATGAATTCTTTTAAAAGTTTATTAAACACTGAAAACATTTGCTGTATTTATTTGTTTACAAGATATCAAACACTTCAAGAATACGTTTAGATGGTCAACGTAAAGTAATTCATTTATTCTCTAATTTTTTATTAAACTATAAGATCACACTATGAAAGACAAGGATTTATTTCAAATAAAACTCAATAAATTGCTTTGCATTTTTTCGAATATTTTAGACCTTGTGAGCACATAAAAAATACCATAAATGCAAAGTTCTTTACTGGCAAATGATTGTGATACATTCTTAGGAGTTAAGCAAGGCTAAAAACGCATTTTTCTCGCAATAAACACACACGCCGCCGCCACCACAAACGACAACACGAACACGAACAAATTGCAACCCAGCCACCAGCCAAACAGACTTTTTCCAAATATCTTTAACGCCTCTTACCCTCTTAACTTTTACACGAATTTAACAACTTGTCTATGCTCACAATCTTAAATGCATTTTGCAATAATTTTCAGGCATTATACTTTATATTTATATGTATTATTCACAACTTCAAAAAATATAACCATTTAGCTTGTAACCAAAATGCTCTTGCCAAAATCAACGACGTTAATCGACAAGGAAGTATTTAGTGTTGTATTTACCATGTAACATATACATCTATCTCTTTTTGATTTGCATGTTTGGAATGCAGTGGCGGTAAAATAGAAAAATGGAAATGTTCGAAAATTGCGTTCAGCAAATGAATGTCATAGAATAGGAGTTATAAAAATTCCACAGAGGGTGAGCATTAAAAAAGTTTGTTTACCTATTTAATTGTTTTTAGATTTAGATTGCAAAGGAAATATGAAACCACTGCCTTATAGAATTTGGAACTATTCCGATTACATTGGCACCAGAGTCTGACAGTAAATTCGAGATATGATCTACATATATTATTTTTTAAATTTGTAAAATATATGTAAATAAAATGTAGCAACACTTGTTTTTGGCATAAATGTAAACACACAAATCTCTTGAATTTGTACCAAGTAATTTTTATACTTTCGCAACCTGTTGCTACAGAGTACAATGGTTTTGTTCACCTAAAGGTTGTTTGTATCACCTAAAACTAATCGGGTTAGATACAGAGTTATACATATATAAATTAAAAAATTAAATTCGGGTGAATGTCTGTCCGTCCGCCTGTGCTAGCTGTAACTTGAGTAAAAATTTAGATATCTTTATGAAACTTGGTACACATGTTTCTTGGTGCCGTAGAACGAATTGTATTGCAGATAGGCGTAATCGGACCGCTGTCACGCCCACAAAACGCTATTAATCAAAAACAAATAAATAGCCATAACCAAGCTCCACAATATGATACAAGACTGCTATATAGTATACAGGATCGCACAGGTAGGTAATAGGTTTAATATGTAGATCTCCTAAGCCGCTAAAGCTATAATAAATATCGAGTGACAACCCCGCCTACTCCCCATATACGATACTGTTGAAAACTACTAAAAGCGCGATAAATCAAGCACTCAACACGCCAGAGACATTAAATTGTATCTCTGGGATGGTATAAGATGATTTTATAATAACCGAGTTCAAAATTAGACAGTAGGCATGACACCGCCCACATTTAGGTGAAAATCTTTATGTTGTTGTTGTTGTAGCGACAGAATTCTGCCGAGTTGACAGTCCTTGGCCGGAATAAATCCGGGTCCGTTCCGGTTACGTAGACCCGACTGTCGTGGGAACGGGTGAAAATCTTTATCTTGGGATCTGCTTAACCGATTTCAACCAAATTTGGTACATAATATTCTCATATTTCTATGTATAGTGTCCATACAACATCATTTTAAATTTCATCCGATTCTTTTACTTTCATTTATTCAAATCAAGCAACAATGATTGTATCGAGGTAAAACTTTGCGTGAATAATGCGTTTAAAGTATACCACCTTGTGACCAAAAATTGTATATATCGAACCAAAACTGTTCAAGCCCCTAGGTACTGAATATGTGGACCCCAGTGATTATAGTTGACTTTATACCGAAAATATCAGTAAATGTGTATAAATGAAATCGATTCGATTAAAGTATGTTTTTGTGTCAAAAATGGGATAAATGAATCGGGATATACTTCCTTTAATATAAAATTTTGCCAACACCTGAAGTAATTTCCCGGGCTTTGATCCTTGCAAGTTGCGAGAGTATTAAATGTTCGGTTACACCCAAACTTAGAACTTCCTTACTTTTTTTCATAAAAGGCACAATATATCCATATTTTGTATTATTTCTTAAACCTTGGCATACGTAGGATTTTTTTTTTTCCATTTTGGACGCTAAAATTTCAAACTGCCTTGTTAGAAATTTTAATATTCAGTTCAAAAAATCGTGATAGTATTCGTCAATATACATAAATGTCTACGGTAGATAGACGATATTCTCGCGTAATGTTGAATTTGGTATTATATTGTAAAATGGTAGCTGTACTCGCGCAATTATAGATGGATAATAGGGAGGAGAGTGAAATTATTTTTAAAATTTTTGAACTTTAAGCAAAAATATCTTGAAACCTATAAGTGCTTAGCCTGGAACCTAAGAACATTATCCGTCCATACCAACAGATCGCGACGCTAAAAAATCTGAATTTTGTCTATTGTAATTTTGTGATCTTAGTATATATATATGTATGTAGGTATGTATTCTGTGAACGATATGGTTATAGCTTGAATATAATATATTATACATAGATCTTAGTACATATGTACATACGCACTTATTACATTTCTATTAGTGGCCAAATTTGTATATACATATGTACATATGTACATACATGTATTTTAATAGAGTTAAAAATTTTAAATATATATTTTTACAGTCGAAATTTATAATTAAGCTAAATCAAAAGGATATAACTGAATTTCGCCTTCAGACAAGAATATTTTCATGGCCCTATAAAGCAAAGCTATTCCTAGACTTTTTCTTCCTTTCGCCGTCCATTTCCTTGATTGATTTGTTAAATTAGGAAGACTTATTGCATCTATGACGGCGGCCTTGAACCAAAAAATGCAAATATCATTAAATGTTTTGAAATTCTCACAAGTTTACAAACAAACCTCTCGAGTGTATGCTTCATATGGCAAGATATTGTGGAACACATGTAGATTAACGACACCAAACCCATTTCTCCAAATATCGACTATATGATCTACCTTACCGTATTTAATCATTTGAATGTCGGTTACAATCGGATTTAGAAGTCCGCCTATTTTTTATATTAAGAAATACATACATACATTTGTATATCTACTAGTACAATTCTGTCAAAATGTCAACCTTTATCATCAGATTCCTCTGCAATCGTAACCTGTTTGTTGTATTTTTTCATAGCGTTATATAAATGTGAATATGGGCGCGTCGATTTTGCTTTTCCTACGTAGAAAATCGAATTCAAGAACTGCTGCCAGATTTCAAGTTCATTAAGACCCTAAATCAATACAAAGAAACATATTCAACGTCTGATCATTTAATAATAATGCAGGACTTTTTTCAAAAAAGGTGACTTCTTATGGCATTAATTTTTATTCATTATTTTGGAAAAGGTCTAATATATCTGAGGATGAGGAAAGCAGATAATACAACATGGTTGTTCTCTGAGAATATTAAAATCACCGTTTTTAAATAAACCTTTAAAAAAAAACGACTCTCGTCGTCACTTTAAAATCATATTTACTTTAGCACTGACTGGAAGGTTACGAGATATCCGAGGATCGATTAAAAAATATAGATAACACTGTTTTAAACCCCGTTTCTTTTTATTGCTCAAATTTGGGCTAGAGTTAAAATATTTTGTGGATAGGCTTTCGAATTTCTCATATTTTCGAATACATTGGAAGCCTTTTGTGGAAGAAATTGTCCGTTGTAATTCCATAGAAAATTCTATAATTTATAAATTATTTGCAAATAAATGCTTCCAGACTGTTTTCTTCAACTTACTTCTTTTTAAACACATAGCCGATTTGTTACAATGATAAATATAACCAATTATTCTAACTTCTATTATGCTAATTGTGTATAAATAAATTAAAAAACGAACAGTTTAAAAGATATTTTTGGGTAAAAGTCAGAAAAGAGTACATATTTGATATATGAACTCTGAATTGTATAAAACATGAGTCTGAGTTTACACCTGAGATCTTCTATTGTGGTATATATGTATATGTTATTAGCTAATAAAATTTCGATTTGCTACAGTTTACGTTATGTAGTTTTCAGTGATATATCGCAACGGGTGACCAATCGCGAACAGTAAATTTTAAACTAATAAGTAAAAAGCTTGGCAGCTCTGGACACAAGTATCATGAGATATTAGGTTTGTTTCATAATTGCTAACTATCACTCGCCAGTCATGTTTATGCTGGTAAAGAGTTTCTAAACCCAAAAAATAGCAGCAGGGAGCACAAGATGTGAGCGATAGAAGCTGAGCTGCTAGTTTCTAATAGTGAAATTTCTGCTAGCAGAAAAAACGTACTGCCATATGAAAAAACAGCTATTAAAACACATGTGTAAACAAGCGATATTTGACGGATTTGTTTTGATCATGGTTGTGAAATTTTTAAATTAAAAATTTTGTATTTAAATTTAGATTTTTATAATTAAAATTAATCCATGACGTTTAATATTTTATTTCCGATTTTGTGATTAAAAATGTAATTGATATACATATTCTAAATTAAAAAATCCTATTTTGAACCCAAGATGATGATTGAAAAATTTCTTTTACAACTTAATATATTATTGTGAATTTAGTATTTGGGAATTCGGTTTTTGGGACTAAATTTTTTTTAAACGTATTTGGAACTAAACAATTTTTTTTAGTCCCGTAAGCATTATTTGAAACTCTGGTTTATGATTTTGTTTGTTTTAATAGTTTAGAATTGTTAAAATAATGATTCTATTGATCAGTATTCAAGTGTTGATATGATGCGATTATTAAAAACAATATTTTAATGTTTTCTCGCTAATTACTGCTAGTATTCCGTCTCTTTACTTTTTAGTAATTCGCTCTTCGTGAGGGTACATTCTTGTTTTTCCTGATAGCAAGAAGCTACAGCTAATTTCTGCTAGGGTTCCGTCTCTTTACTTTTTCGTAATTCGCTCTTCGTGAGGGTACATTCTTGTTTTTCCTGATAGCACACAGCTACTAGCGTTATGAAACAAACCTATATTTTGTACACAATATATACATAACCGTAGAATAAAGTACCTATTTGTTAATATCGGGAAACAAATTGTTTACTCAAAGACATTTCCTGACCTTAAAACAATATATATATGTATATAAGTTAATCCATCATTTCAAAGTTGTATTGGAGAAAATATCAAAGTATCAAAACTAATAGGATGCCCACTATTATTGCTTTGGATGGTAAGTAAACAATAAATTATTTATATGTAAGATTTAAATGAGAAGAGCAATAATAATTATTATTTCCTCAACAGTGTCATTATCTATGCAACGCCAAATACCAGGTCGGAGTGAAGAAAATGCACTTACTTACCATCAGTTAGCCATCAAGGGTATATCACAACTGCTAGAACATTTGTCTGCCACATCAAAGTTGGAATATGTTTCACTAGTTGTATACTCCACAACATCCGAGGTAAAGGTAGATTTTACGCGTGATTATGACATTATTCGACAAGCTCTTAAGAAAATAGAACCTGGTGACAAACTTTGCCTCATAAGTATGTTGAAAAATGTTGCTAGTATATTGTCGACCAATTGGGGCTTTCAAAACTATTCTCAGGTTGTTGTGTTCACGGACTGTGGTTTAGGGTAGGTATTGAAATGCTTTCAAAATTTTTAAGATATTTACTAAAGAGCCTGTATATAAACGTTAAAGTTTTGGAAGTACAGCGCTCAAGGGCTTTTTCCACAGTTATGTTGACAAAGAAAATGAGCCTCAATTCGATTGGATTACTCAACTGAAGGCAGTTAAGTTAAATTTTGTGTGCATGGGAGTTCAAAGTGATTATTACTTCACGCGTTCCTTGCCTATATATCAGCAGCTTATCGATTTTACAGGGCTTAAAGGTAATTTTGTACGATAACTTCAGATTTATTTTTTAAAACAAATTTTTTGGCGTAGGTCAACTTTATATGCCGAAAGCTGTAAAAGAGACTGTAGAAGGTTCAGAAAATATAAATGATAGTAATAAGTCCTCAGGAAATGCCAACATCCATACATTGACGCCCACTATGGGATCACATTCAAGTCATAAAAGTGAGCTTGGTCGCACTGCTATGTTCGATTTAATTGAAAGAGTTTGCGAGTCCAATTTTAAGCCTTATGAAGTTACGCTTAAAGCTGGTAGTTATTTCCGGTTGGAGTGTCCGGTCGTTATATGGCCACGACCTGCGCCATATAAAATGGAGAATGGAGTGAGAACCGAATTAAAAATATCACAGAAAATAGAGATATGTGGGTATTTGTCGCTTTCCGAAATTGGTTCACCCGTTTCCTTAAGCCGACATTTAGTTATTCCTAAAGTGGATAGAGAAAAGCCAGCACGACGCTCGTCCGAAAAATCAAGTTCATCAAAATCTTCATCGAGTGGAAGCACTGGTGCCACTGTAAAACCAGCATTAGACGTGAACCAACCAAACTATGAGTACGAAAAATTAGAGCAGGAAATACGAGAATTCTATACGAAAGACATTAAAGACGGCGATGAAAGCAGCGAAGATACTGAAAGCAACGTTAATAAAAGTGGCAGTGGTGCCTTACCAACCGCAGCTGAAAAAGAGTCGATGTGTGTATTGCTCCATGGCGCTTTGAAAGTTGAAAATTTAGCTGCATTGGTATTATTAAATGATAATTGGTATGGCTTTATCTATTCCTATGCGGATAGTAAGAAAAAGTCTAATTTAATGTTGAACATTTTACCACCTGGTAATAATGTTATTCCCTGGTTGGGTGACCTGCAGTTATTGGGATTTGCTGAAGATTTATTGCCAGGCGAAACAAACGCGTTTCCTGTGAAGGCCGAAAAGCGTTCATATTCTCAAAGTTGTGTGGTGTGGATAAAACAGGTAAGTTTGCAGTCTGACGTGCAAAAGGTACTGCGACATGCAAAGAAAATGCCAGAGAAGACGCAGCATTTCTATAAGGAATTAAACCGCATACGACGCGCTGCACTATCCATTGGCTTTGTTGATCTGCTTGAAGCTATGGCGACACTTTTTGAAAAAGAGATTTCACAACTTTCGGTGAGTACAAATCCGGAGTGCATCCTGCAATTGAAACATGCAGTAAATGAGTTGCGAACTGAAGAAAGTCTGGATATAAAAACGTCTATTACACCATACCACAAATTTGGGTCAGCGGGTAGTGGCAATGATAATGCGCCTTCGTCAGTATCAGGTTTTATATATTAAGTAACTAAAATACAAGCATTTCATGGCAAATGTATTTTTTTTAATGTTAGTATAAGTTTATACATACATTATGCATCTAAAATATATTATATACATTGAATATAAAAGATGTAGACATCCTCAAACATTTAATTTAAAGCGTGAATTTATATTTTCAAGCGTTTCTATAGCAGTTGGTGCCGGCAGCAGCATCAGCAGCATCAATAATTAATGTTATTTCATTCAAATCGATTTTCTTCAATTCACTATAAATTTCTTCACTTATAACATTATTCGGGTTCTAGAAATACCAAACAAAAGAAGTTCATTTTAAACAACAATTTATACTCTCGTAATTTGCAAAGATCAAAGGTGTAGGCATTACTCAAGTATACATATATTGAACATAAAGCCTGTTAAAATATCAATAATCGATATGTGTAGTATACAGGAGCAGAGGTATATCATAGACCGATTGTACACCCGATTTTTCCTATTTTTAACACAAGCGAAGGCTGTTATCTTGAAAGGATAGGCTCCGAATGTCAATGCCTACAGATTGACCAATATTTTTGGTAAAATGTCAGCCATATTCATCGGGTGCAGGCATTCGATATATGGAGGCTTGACAAGTTATAGTCCGACAGTTTTTAGAAGCGAGATGGAATACATTACAGGCACAATTTGTGCAAAGTTTCATTTCAGTAAAAAAAGTTGTTATTTTTTCGTAGCATCTTGTCTGTCAATTTTAAGTGAGTTATCGTACTTTAAGTAGATTTCAACTTAACCGTTATATGGGGAGTGGCGGGGTTATCATCCAACTTCACAAATTTTTACACTGTCGGAAGAAGTGACGAAAAGATTTGCCCTAAGCAAATTGTGTTGATATAGCATTAGTGGTTTGTGATATATGTACAGTAAGCTTTTTAGGGGCCGGGGCCACACTGAAAATTTTCAAGCCACCAATGCCCCTCGCTTATACGATGACCAAATTACAGATTTGTATCTTAATGTGGTACCAAGTTAAGACACTTAATATGTTTTCGGTTAATGGCGTTTTATGGGCGTGGTAATGATCCGATTCCGCCTATCTGCAATAACAACTTTCTTATGATACCAAGAAACATGTGTACCAATTTTCATCAATATATCGAATTTTTACTTAAGTTATTGCTTTCACAGACGGCCGGACTGAGAGACAGACAGTTACTCGAATTTCAACTCTTCTCGTTATCTTGATCATTTACATATACATAACCTTATATACATTTGTATATCTAGATTAGTTGAAGGTGATCCAAATAACCGTTAGGTGAACAAAACTATTATACTCTGTAGCAACATTTTGCGAGAATATAAAAATTAATTAAAATTTGTTATAAAAATACTACTCACAATTTTCGCATATTTCCAAGATTCAAGAGCTTTAAATGTGTTATTCGTTTTGAGATTAACCAATGCCAAGTAGCCCCACACATCTGGTAAATGTATGCCATGATTGGTACAAGACGAAAACTTTTGTTCCGCCTTTTGATATTTTCCCAACTATGTTTTTGAATCATTCAGTTAGTTGCTCATAATTTTTTATTCCGAAATCAATCCACAATCCACTACACTACTTACGCGATAAAAGGCCCTTCCAAGGTCATAAAGCGCCTTCACACTGCAATTACTGATTCTCGTACATTCCCCATATGCACTGATTGCTTTCTCATATTTGCCATGTTCAAATAAATAGTTGGCATAACGCATTATGCTCATTTGGAAAACTCCGACATCATCCAGGTTTTGAGTGTTATGCAGAATTACAGCATAACACTCTTTGGCAGCAGATTTATTGCCAAGGTAATAATGCAAATGTCCATTGATATGCGATTGGAAAATTGTCTGAAACCCAAAAATGATAGATGAAAAGTGCAATTTTTGAGCGAGTTTCTTAAGACCAGTCAATTTAACTTGGTTGCTGTGCTTTGTTTCTATACCCAATGCGATCTTCAACGAATACTTTGAGTAGTATGCTGAAAACTTGTGTCCGTGGTAAAGTAGACTTTCCAAAACAAACGGCTCCCAAACATACACTAACTGACATATGGAGATCAAACTACACACGAACAAAAAAAATTGTACCAAACTAGGAAAAAATTGTTTATCGATTCGGTTTGCGCGCGCAGTTTAAATAGACCAATCTGGGTCAAATTTGATTAGATATTATTATTGATTTTTACCCATATTATCAATCTCTTCCGTTAACGCGATAATTTTTGTTTTACAGCTACTACTACTATCACGATTATTTTAAGATGTTATAAACTACCGTTAGGCGAACAAAATCAATATATTCTGTACGAATCCAAAATTCTTTCTCTTCCCTCTTACCGTTTGAAGCCCTTGAAATGTTCGCAACGAATATGCGTCCGTTATTTCTCGAAGTAGAATTTGTAAAGTGGTCGTAACGAAATACTTTTCCGCTTCAGTGCATTCAATTAAGATTTGCTCAAAAATTATTTGTGCAAACTTATACAATCCTAGTTCCAAGAATTCTTGGACGGCTTTGTAAAATTCCTTTGCCCTTTTAGATGTAAATTCGAGGCTTTGTTTACAATAAAGATCCCAAAGGCTTAACGGCCGTTGAGTATTTCTGGTAAACTCTTTTTTCAAATTCTCAAATTTCAATCGAGTATAACTCATGCCTGGTACATAGCCACATTCACTGTATATACAGTATAAAAGAATCCACGTTGAAGATTCTTTTGCAAATCGGCTTGAGTAGGTCTCCAACTCACGAAGTAAATATTGAAGAGCTTCGTTATAGGTGGTCTCAGCCAGCAACGTTTCTACGTACGTAATGTAAATTTCAAAGAGGCCACTGCAAATCAACAGGAAGTGAAACATTAACAGCTGCGAATAACACAAACAAATGTGTAATAGTAAATATTAAATAATTGTATTAGACTAATATTTATGGGACACGAATATTCATACAAAAATTGTCGATTGACGTTTTAAATGTGCCGTTATCATTCGCAATGTTAGCAACCTTATTAAATTACTTTAAAATGTATTTTTGCTACTTGGGAATACACACTATCCTTATTTTTAATTACTTAGAACTAACACTCCACATTTTCTGATATCAACCACGATAATATGGATATTCCGTTGATATGCTATTGATATGCTTAACCTATTATTCGAGTTCCCGAGAGTTGTTTTCGGACATTATTTATCAAATCAATTACACATAGTATGAATAATAATAACCTATAACAATTTGCTGTTATCTATTTATTAATACCATTGACAGTTAATATCTTCAATTATTGAAATATTAGGTTAATTACCAAGTAAGGAAGTTCTAAGTTCGGGTGTAACCGAACATTTTATACACTTGCAACTTGCAAGAATCAAAGCCCGGGAAATTACCTCAGGTGTTGGCAAAACTTTATATTAACAAGTAAGGAAGTGCTAAGTTCGGATGTAACCGAACATTTTATACTTTCGCAAAGCAAATGGTATACTCATTTGAGATTTCTTTGTGGAATGACCGATATTTTCGGTAGAAGGTCAACTATAGGCACTGGGGTCCACATATTCAGTACTTAGGGGCTTGAACAGTTTTGGTTCGATTTAGACAATTTTTGGTCACAATTCGACCGATTTCGCCCATTTGCGCACTATAACATAGAGATATGAGAAGAATGTTATGCACCGAATTTTGTTTAAATCGGTTAAGCAGATCCCAAGATATGGGTTTTCACCTAAAAGTGGGGGGTGCCACGCCCACTGACTAATTTTGAACGCGGTTCCTATAAAGTCATCTCATACAAACCCAGAGATAAAATTTAATGTCTCTGGCGTGTTTAGTGCTTCGTTTATCGCGCTTTTAGTATGTTTTAACAGTACCGTTATATGGGGAGTGAGCGGGCTTGTCACCCGATTTCACCCATTTTCACACCGTCAATAGAGGTGCTAAAACAATTTGCTTCCAGTGAATTTGGTTATTATAGCTTTAGCGGTTTAGGAGATATGCGAATTAAACTTATTAGGGGCGGGACCACGCCCACTTTAAAAATAAAATTTACTGCAGATGCCCCTCCCTAATGTGATCCTGTGTACCAAATAACAGTCTTGTATCTTATTGCAGAGCTTAGTTATGGCAATTTATTTGTTTTTGATTAATAGCGTTTTGTGGGCGTGGCAGCGGTCCGATTACGCCCATCTGCAATACTAACCGTCTCACGGTACCAAGAAACATTTCTACCAAGTTTCATAAAGTTATCGCAATTTTTACTCAAGTTAGAGCTTGCACGGACGGACGGACGGACGGACGGACGGACAGACGGATTTCAACTCGTCTCTTCATCCTGATCATTTATATATATATATAACCCTATATCTAACTCGATTAGTTTTAGGTGATACAAACAACCGTTAGGTGAACAAAACTATTATACTCTGTAGCAACAGGTTGCGAGAGTATAAAAATATAGCAAAAGGGTTCAACTTCATTGTTCGACGAAACCAAACGAATTACAATCAAATTTGGTATCTTATTAACTTATATTATAGGTCATAGACTCAATTAATTTTATAACCATATTTTACTTTCCGTCAGCAATTATATTAAAATGATCTCTAAATGAGATATTTGTGATATTAACTCGACCGAAGAGGCTAAATTTAATATATTGAGTTGATGTGGAGAACGTCAACCAAACGATCGGAATTCATTATATTAGGAATATGAGGTTTAGAGCAATGTATAGGCCAATGCCATTGTAATTCAGCGCTAAACCACATAATTTTTAAGACAACTTTTCCACTTAATTTCACTAAAATATCACACATTTTGACCAATGTAAACGGTTAAAAGACAGGTGGAAAGATTTTATAGGCTATAACAGCACCATCAGAAACCACAATAAAACGTTGGTTTGCTATTTAAAGTCAGCTGACTGTTGACCAAAAACAGCAACGTGTTGATGATTTTGAGCAAAGTTTGGCCATGTTTAAAAGTAACAAACTGGAAATATTTTGCTCCCAGCGACTATTGGTTGTTCACATACCTCAAAAAAATGCTCGCCGGTAAGAAATTTCGCTCGGATGAAGAGGTTATCACTGAAACTCATTATAAGTCTTATAGTGTATGGGAGTTGGGGGTAGTATTGACCCGATTTTATAAATTATTGACAATACCACATACGACTAACATGACACAGACAAAAGATGTTCCGGTTACGTAGACCCGACTGTCGTGGGAACGGACTTATATATTGGTCGATATATGCGGTATATATATGCGGGTCGGAAATCTTTATATTAGGTACATGGGTGACATTTTTGACATTCAGACATACAATTATTAGGAAATGATTCTCTCCAAATTTCAATTAAATATCTCACAAATTAGGCGATATTTTCGGTAAAAAGTCGACTATAGGCACAGGGGGGCAGTTTTGGTTCGATTTGATCAATTTTCGGTCCTAAGGTGGCACATTTCAAAGGCACTATTCGTGCAAAGTTTTATCCCATAATATAATTGGTGCTTTATTTGTACACTGGAATGTGAAAGAATCAGATGGATTTTAAAATTTTGATGTATTCGCATGGTTGTAGCCCGATTTCCTTCATTTTTGCACTGTAACATAGGAATATTATAAGAATGTTATGCACCAAATCATTCGAGCAGGTCCTGAGATATGTGATTTCACCTAAAAGTGGGCGATGTCACGCCTATCTTTTAATTTTGACAAAGGCTGCTACAAAACCCTTTTGTGCCATCCTGGATGTAAAATTTAATGTCTCCGACGCATTTAGTTATTGATCTATCCCATTTTTAGTTTTTTTTAACAAGTCACCCGGATTTCAACTCGTCTCTTCATCCTGATCAAATAAATATATCGATTAATTTTAGATGATACAAACAACCATTAGGTGAACAAAACTATTATACTCTGTAGCAACATGTTGCAAGAATATACAAATACAGTGTGTTTGAACATAAGAAAGTAAGTTAGCACCAAATTTCGTGTAAGAAACATTTTTGTTGTGCAATATAAAAGTAAAAAAGTCAAAAATTTGGTTATTTGAAAAAGGTGTTAGTACAAAAGTTGTTGATCTTTGCATTACCTATAACCATATAATTTTTAAAGTTAAAATTTTTCTATATAATTCGTAGTTTTGCCGGGCATCAAGATAAACCGTTTTCAACCCTTAAAAATTAAACCAATCCCCTCCCCTTCCTCTGATGATCCTGATTCCTCAGATTCTCAGATCGCTTGTAAATGATCATTTTATTAATTTTTATTTTTTTATCCTCCTTTTTCAATGGTTTTCAACCTTTTTCTCCACTTTTCACCAACTTCAAAGGCTTCCGCACTGGCCAAATACATATTATTTTTCACATTTTTTGTTGTACGGATCTCCTTCGAGGCTACAATTATAAATTTCGAACAGAAAGATACCAGTTTCATACTAGCTCAAAAACTAAAACAAAATCTAGTTGGATTAAAAACCTGTGGCCAAATTAAATAACTGATTATTAATGCGTTCTGTAAAATAATGGTAATATGTCTTTAACAAGTTGGATTTCATTAGTGCCTAGTTGAAAACTGATATATTTCGATTATGCTCAACGCCCAAAAAAAATAAAGGCATTTTTAGCCCCACTCTCGGATTTCTCTTGGTAATAATATGTAAGTCCGTACTTCGAATAGAAGTTTTATCTCAAGTTTTTTGGGATACAAAAGGAATTTTGTTGATTGATTATCTGCAGAAAAGTAAAACAATCAACTCTGAACATTTTTGCAGCCTTTTGGATAAGCTGGATGAAAAAATTCGTGAGAACAGACCTGGTTTGCAGCACAAAAAAATCATTTTTCATTACGATACAAAGGTGTTTCAACAATGACAAAAGTCACCGTGTTCAATAGATTTGGCTCCCAGCGACTACTACCTCTTTAGAAACCTGAATAAACTCCTTCGTGAAAAGCGTTTTTCGTCGAATGAAGAAACTATTACAGCCGCAGACGGGTATTTTGCAGAGCTTCCGGAAAGTCAATATAGGGATGGCAAAAAATTATTGGAGGATCATTGGAATATGGGATATTAAGGGAGATTATATTAAAAAAAATATTTATATATCATAAAAAACCAGTATTTTTTCCTGTATTTCGTCAACGACGCAACTTTTAAATGATTTAAAGAAATCAGTAATAAAACATATGACAATAATAAATCTTGCGGGAAATTGTTGCAATTGATCGTAAAAGCCATGGTACAATTAAACAAATTGTGAATATTTGGTTCTATTAAAAATAACCCACGTTCTGGACGTCCTCGCGTATTTAATGACACGAAGACCCATATTATCGTTCGGAAAATAAAAGAAAAACGTAAAAAAAGTGCCCCAAAGATAAAAAGTGAATTTGAAAACGAAATGAAAAAGCAATGTAATGCTCAAACGATCCGCCGCATATTTTGCAGGTCACCACGCCGTAATATAATATTATATTAGGAAAATGCCCTTTGTTAACAAACAAAAACGATGTATGTACTTGTATATAAAAGTATTGCCTTCGCTAAAGAATGCCAAAATTCCGATTACAAATTTTGGAATAATGTTATTTTTTCAGATGAAAGCAAATTCAACATTAATGAATCGGATGGACGTGAAATTATTGAGAATTTAAAGGACCGATATGCATATTTAAACATATCCAAGAATAATTAAAAAAATGCGCTATAAAATTGGGTATTGAGTGGTCATTCATCTTATAACGAGATGGTGACGACAAACAAACTGTAAATGTAAAGGTAAGACTGTATACTGTTCGAAAACAGCTTAAAACTACACCGCAGACACCGGATGTTAACCTAATTGAACATTTATGGGAACATCTGGAACGACAAATACGAAAACGTGATATAAGAAATAAGGAGGAGTTAAAAAGGTCCTTAAAGAAAAGTGGTACCAAATATTGTCAAGAACTACACAAAGCCTAGTAAAATCTATGCCATCACAGCGTAAAGCTATTATTAGATTAGTCCAAAGGATACCCAACCAAATACTAATTTATTTTTTTTAGCATTTTTTATAAACCTATAATTTTATATACTACTATACTTGCTTTTATGATATGAATTTTTGCATAATTTTATATTAACTTTAATAATTGTTTGGTTTCCTTAATAAAATAAAATGGTTTTTATCAAACTAACTGTATACTAACTAAAGTGATTCACTATAATTTAATATACTTAGCACACAGCGACCCGTGACCAGGGGCTACTAGTATGTATGCATATATGGTATGTACATTGGTATAAGCTTAAACATCTACAAATAATTTTTTGTTTTCTTTCTTGAGTTCTTAAATGCATTATAATATCATCGTATATTAGATAAAATTGGTTCAAAAAGTCCAATAAACAAATTGTCGTTGGGTTTTGCTTCTAAATATTTGTGGACAAACAGTTGTTGATCAATTGACATCACTCAGTTACAAAAGTATTTGTACTTACTCATAATAACATCCAAAGGTAAATTTTTGATCTAGCGGTTTTCGAATGTGTTTCTTAGCTTCCTTAAAATTTTGTTTCTCCATGTTGTATAAGAATTTGTAGCCTTCTACATGAAACTCAGTGGTTTCCAGTTTTTCCAGCTGTAATAAAATAAATCTAAATAAACACTGATGGACACCAACAAAACATGTATATTTGCTGGCAACTTTTTTCCTACAAGCAAAAAAAAAATGATTGCAGCTTCATCAGTTTATTTTAAAACGCATTTTTCTCGAAACAGTAGCTTTTTTTCTGCATTAAATATTTTCCGCATGTTTTGTGCATAGTTCTCCAGTTTTTTGATCTGATCAAAAATCATTGTACGGAAGATACCTTCTAAAGAGCATTCTTTTTTTGTTTCATCCACGGAAAAGTCCGGAATCACTGCGGACCTGTTTGTATCGCCGTTAGAGACCGCGTGTACAACAATTGATACGGTAGTATCATTTTTTTTCTCAAAAAGCTGCTCATTTCTCGGAACTTCCGATTTCGGATCACAATAGCATATATATACCATATGTAGCTGCCATACATACTGAACAATCGAAATCATGTACCTTATAATTGTAGTGAAACAAATAGTGTAAATACTTATATATTTTGTCTGACCTTTTCGTTGTATATACTCGCTAAATTTTCCGCACCAACTTCATTCGAGACTTTTATTATACTCATGTATAAAGTTATGTTTTGAATATGGAGACCGGCTTCGAGTGAGGTTTTGAGTTTTTGATGTTTTTGCAAAATGTCAAAACATCTTTTTTCCAAATTTTTGTAAACAAACGTCATCAGATTCTAAAAAAATAAAAATAGCATATTTTCGGCGTAAATATACGTTTAAGATAGCCTACTGCGAATTCTGTACTATTCTTGGTTGGCACACGGACATTGAAATCGCAAGAAATCAATTTCATAATTTTTTGAGTTAAATCATTCTTTTGACAGCACAAAAAGCCCTTCGAATCTTCGATGTATTGTATCTCTTTTCTTATTATGTAATCAACAAGGGTGTATATTTGCGCATCAAAATGTTTGTAGTTCTCTTCGCAAGTGTCCACTTTGCCTTTTTCTGGAATTATTTCTGCCGCAGAATTTTTAGGTACACAAGTTTTCATTTCCTCAGGTGTCAAGAGCTTTCTAAACATATCGCGTGTAATTTGACATTCCGTTATGGGCTGCAATATGCAGATATTTACAATCCCAAATGTTATTTTGCCCCCCTCATGGTAAGGATTTATAGGAGTTTCGTCGTTGGAAAAGGTCGGCATTTCGACAGGTTTCAAATGTACGGCAAAACGACAGGAGTTAACTATTAGGAGTACATTGTGTACATATTATATAAACATTTACATATTAAAATAAAGAAATATTAATATTTTGCTTTAAAATTTGATGCCTTCTCGTTACTACAAAGTGTGACAAATTTGATCGCGTTATATGTACTTTCGTTCAAAGGAAATGTTTAGTTAATCTTTCTAAAACCACCTACACCAAAAGCAGACGTACATAGGATTTAATTTTTTAATAACTCTCTAGCAGGAATATTATCGCCATCAATTTCCCTAAGCTTTCAATTTCCATTATGTGGTGTTTTCGGAATCAACGCACTAGTAAAATGCGTTTATGATAAGAAATATCATTTGTTTTTAATTTTTATAAGAAATGTCCCTCCTTTGTTATCGGTTCACACGCAGACTCTTTCGGCGTCCAAACCGGATTTTTTTTAGAAGCGAAGAGACGAAGAGGAAAAACGAAGAACCATGCTTCTCGTGCTCGTTTAATATATGGAGTAACTATTCAAATTCTTTTCGTAATTTTATGGTGTATTAAAACAACTGATGTTTGAACTTTCAATAATAAATTAAAATAAATTAAACTTAGCCATTTTTATACTCTTGCAACATGTTGCTACAGAGTATAATATCCATATCTCGGGATCTGCTCGACCGCATTCAACCAAATTTATTACATAATATTCCTATGCTACTGTGCGAAAATGGACGAAATTCGATTCCTTCTCTTTCCAGTATACAATTCAAGGACCAATGAATGTATGTGGATAAAACTTAGCGCGAATAGTGCCTTTGAGTTGAAAAAATTGTTCAAATCGGTCCAAAACTATTCAAGCCTCCAGATACCGAATATTTTGACCACAGTTCCTATCGCAAACTTTTTACCATAAAAATTCGGAGAGAATCTTTTTCTAATGTAGTTCTAGTATGCCTATATGTCAAAAATGGGTTGAATCAGATTAATAATTCCCTTAGCCCCCATATACCTAATAGAAAGATTTTCGAACTTCCGGTTAGTTTATATCGTAAATATTATCGGCAAATATGTCAATTGTTGTAATTAAATTTTCGAATGACGGCGCATCTTTGTGCATAAAATAGATAAAATCGGGTGAAAACTTGCCCTGGACCCCATATAAATACAAACCTTATGCATCTGAATATATTTACCCTGTTTTGATCCTGGCAAGTTGCAAGAGTATAAAATGTTCGGTTACACCCCAACTTAGCCCTTTCAAAGGCTCTTGCAAGGCGAATTGAAAGGTTAAAACTATAATAAGTGTTTTTTCTTCTTTTTTTTTAACTTTTCTACATATTTCGTAGTTGAAAAATTAAATACTTTACTCACCATCTGGGTACACAAATATCGATAGGTCAATACTGCCCCTTAAGAGAATATAGTCTGGCTTAGTGCGATCATACACCTCTATTATAAGCTCTTGTTCGTCGTTCACAATTACTGCTTCCAGTATATTATTTAAAACTTCATCCAAGATGTAACGACGTAGCAAATTACAAATTAATGCTTCTTCTTTATCCATAGATATACTATCAAAGTTGAAATCTACATTCTCTGTACATAATAAATCACTGAATAATTTATGAAGAGAAATACTACAGTCCGTTGATTGACCCAAGTTGTGTGATTCATCCATAGAAATACTTGCCCAGCGATATCTGGTATCTTGGTCAATGATTAAGCCTCTGTTGAAATAATTAAAGGTGCATATTTTTGTTGTATCAAATTCGTTAATTTCGTTTGGAAATTTAGAACGAAATGATAGGCTTACACCCAAGTTCTGAGCTATATCCATGATGTCAGAGCTCGCATTATATATGGATTCGATCGTTATGAAGACCATATTATTAAAATCTTCGTATCTCATTAATGGCAGTAGAGAATACACATGCCAGACGGTTTTACATGTTCCCATTTCCAAATCAATATGTTCAAATGATGTTGGATACAACAAAATTTCGGTACTAACTACTGTGCGCTTATTTGTGAAAAAATGTATCAAATCAATTTGCCCCTGGGCAATTGTTTTTTCAGAAGCGTCATTTTCCTCTTCTGATACTACAGTTAAAATAATAGCGACCGGCTCATCACTAAATGCATTAGCTACATCCATATTGTATTGTTCGATCGGTATGGCGAAGGCGCTTAATCTACTGTCTTCATCCAACTCCTTTTGATCGGCATAATTTGTATTATTGTGGCGCAAACTAATGAAGAACTTTTTATTATCAGCACGCGGAACATTTATGATGTCTTGAAGTTGTAAATACATAAACACTTTATGAGATCCCCTCTTTTCAATACTCGATTCCGGCACAATTTCTTGTTCCAATATTGGGCTCGACTCCACCAAAGCATGTGATGGTTTTGGTTTATTTTTTTTCGATGAGCGTTTCTTTAAGACTTCCTGATATCGTAACAGGTCTTTGTCGCTAAGAATACTAACCATCTTAATTCTATATTGTGAACCTGTCGCCATTTGGGTTGTTTTCCCTTACTACAATATATATTACCGAATTAATATTCGGTATTTGCTATTTTGTACATATTTTTTCATTTTATGTTTCAATCATAGCATGCTACATGTTTGTTTTGCTTTGTAAAGGGTGTTTCCATTTACCTAAAACTTAAGCGCTCTCTCTTGGCAAAGCAAGCAATGCTTTTGCATGCTACTTAATGAGACGGGTGAATAGATATACTACAACATATCCAATCTATGAATGCATTGCCGTTTCACAGTAGCTGCAAGCTTCTTATTTGGTATTGGCTTTTGTAAGACATTCAACTGTTTGTTAAGTTCCGCATCATCAATACAGTGGAAGGAAAGACTAGGACTAATTGAGATACATATAGAATTATAGATTTACATACAAGTATGTATAATAAAACAAGAAAAAAGGTTAACCTCGGTTGCACCGAAGCTATAATACCCTTCACAAATACCTTATCCTTAGAAGAACTTTATTCCGATCGTTCAGCTTGTGTGACAGCTATATGCTATAGTGATTCGATCTGAATAATTTCTTCGGAGATTCCATTGTTGTCTTAGATAATGAAACCGTTCCAAATTTCGGGAAGATATCTCGTCAAATGAAAAATATGCTATAGTGTCAAATATTGGCCATTCTGACAAATGTGCAGCTTCTTGGTTAGAAGCAATCAGGTGCTAAAGTTAAGATAGATATCTTTAAAACTGAGGGACTAGATCCTATATCTACAGACAGATGGACATGGCTAATTCAACTCAGCTCATCATGCTACTATATTTTATAGGGTCTCCGACGTTTCCTTCTGGGTGTTACGAACTTTGTGCAAACTTAATATACCCTGTTCAGAGTATAATGATTAAGATGGCGAGACGAATAGAATTTCAGATGTCTATAATCGAAAATGTTGAAGATCACTTACAAAAATTGTAAAGCATTGAAAATTAAAGAAAACGCGAAATTCAAATGTATGTGATAAAATCGTTTGTGATGCCATGCTTCGTAGTATGAAGAGTTATAATAAAAAAAAAAAAAACATTTATTAATTGAGAGCTAATACAATTCAACTTATTAAGTATTGAATGTTCAAAAATCAGTTGTTTTAATATATATTACAAAATCACAAAAAGGGTTTAAATAGTTTCTCCATATGTTTAACCGATACATATAACAATATTTAATCAAAATTAATTTTGGATATTTAAATCAAATCAGTCCAAAAATTATTATTTTGTCCGATCTGGCTACAATGTTACACATAAGTTGGACATCCCTTTATCCCTGCTGCCGAACATAAGTGTAATAACCGGCGAAGCTTATCGCTTATTTTGTCATGGATGCAGATACCAGTTGCAGCAACGTCTTGACAATGCCAAAAGTCAGTATGGTTTAGAGATTAAAGACTACCTAAGGGGTTCAGCTTAACATTCTGAATTATACCAACAAACCTTTGTAAACAGCATTCAGAGAATATGTATATAGTGAATATGTATATGTATAATAGAAAAGTTTCTAATGTGGAAAATTATTATTTTTATTTAAACAAGGAATTATATTAAACACAATAAAATGCGAAATAAAAATGTAAATAGTATGAAACTCCTCTACGACGTTAATGTCATGCATGGAATTACAGGGGGTTTATCAACATAAAGCACAACATCATAGATATCAACATTTCTTAAATCCTCTTGAAGGTCTCTGCTGAATTCAGTATTGGGATGCTAAAAGGAAATTAACATATATACATTTATTAAGTTTAGAAGCTTACATTCTGTATAGCTAAACTACTTACAATTTTGGCATATTTCCAAAACTCAAGGGCTTTGAAGTTTCTCTTTAACAAAAGATTGATCAACGCTAGATAGCCCCACACATCAGGTATATGAACTTTGAAACTTGTACAAATGGCCAATACGCGCTCTGCATCATCCAGCTTTTTCATCTAGAAACCGAGTATAAATACATATATGTATGTATATACCTACTTGTATATATTATATGTATGTATATTAGGGTGGTTCAAAAAACGAATGTTATTTTTCGTTTCGTTCTCTGAAAAATTGGTTGATAGACACCTCTAAGAAAGGCTCTCCAAGTATGAGCTCTTAATTTTAACGGGAAGGTCATTTGCCTAACGGTTTTCTATTTTTATCTTATTATCAAATAGAAAAATGCATGTCTCTCAACTATTTGAAAAAATATCTCGTTTCATAGATTTTGTAGGCCTGCACCGTTTTGTAAGAGAATTTCTTGTCAGTTTAAGTCATTTAATAATGCCACCCCTATAGAAACCTTCGGCTCTGTTGGCAAAAAAAATGGGACAGTCAATTTTTATAAGCTTCTCTTTAGAGAAATTTTTCACCAGCAAAATCATTCGTCATAGACCGGAATGGCTAGTAATCACTTGATGCCAGGTCCGAACTATAAGGCGGATGCATAAGAATCTTCCTACTAAGCTCTTTAGAGCTTCTAAGGAGTGACTATTGATGTGTGTGGCCTGGCGTTGTCCTGATGGAACACAATTAGTCTCCTATTGACCAAAGCTGGCTACTTCTGAAAGATTGTTTACTTCATATGGTCCCCTTGTTGGTAGTACAGGACCGAATCAATAGTTTGGCTATAGTTGAGCAGTTTATATTATTCCCTGCCAATCTCATCAAACTTAACCCAACAAGCCCGTCCTAACAGTCAATCCTGGCTTCGATTCGACAACGACCGTTTTTTCTTGACGTTGTCGTAAGTAACCTACTTTTCATCACCAGTAACCGTCCGCTTCAGAAAGGATCGATTTTGTTGCGATTCAGCAGCGATTCGAAGATGGAAATTTGGTTCATGAGGTTTTTTGCATTAACTCGTGTGGCATTCATACATCGAGCTAATTTTATTTTTCCAGCCTTATTGCAATGGTATCAAAGGATTTTTGTGACATCTTAAGCTCCTGGAAATGGAAACAGTGCAATCATAACGGCCCGTCTTAACAATTTCCATTATCATATCGACATTTACGATCAATGATCTTATAGATATGGCGTATTTTCTCTTTGCTAGTGTCCATCTTTTACGCGTGTTCAAACAATACTAGAGTCAACCAATGCCAAACTGTCTAAGAGCTTCTGTTAGTAGGTACTTATACAACGTAAGATGCATAACATATTACTAAAGCCATCGATTGGAAAAATAATGGATTTCTCTTTACTAGACCTAATATACCTATGTTATATATATAAATCCATAAGTATATATTATATATAATTTAACTTACTTTGAATAAAGCTTTGCCCATGCCAAATTTGGTAATAAGTTTGGTGTTCGTGCTGTCGCATTTTTGAAATGCCTCCACGGCCTCTTCATGATTCCCTATCTTCAGCATATGGAAGCCGTAGCGTAGCAAGGCCAACGAATAATGCCTGCTTGATATTTCATGGTCATTCATTAAAATTTTCCAATAGTTTTGCATTGCTGAATCGACAGCGCCGCGACTGTACTCCAGATGACCATTGATGTTTATTATGAAATACTTTTCCAGTGTTTTGGTAACTGGAAATGTTTTTGCCTGATAATTCGTAAGGACTTCATTCGAAAGTATCTTCAGTGTTGTGTATATAAGGTATCGTTCAAATGGTTGGCATGACATTTCTAATTCTTTAAAAACGAATACAGCGAATTTATATAATCCCAAATTGGTCATGATTGTAAACACTTTAAGGAATAATGCTTCCCTCACCGTAATTGGTGCCTTTAATTCATATGAATTTATTAACATAAAACGAGACGTTGGCATTAATGGTATCTTAAGATCCACCTCTAATTCGAGTTGTTCATATTTCCAACGGGTGTAATTAATACCTGGCAAATAACTACAATATTTGAAAATGCAATGCAGCATAACCCAGAAACAGATGTCATTTGGAAAGGCAACAACAACTTCCCGAAGACTGACGATCAAATTTTCCATGGCTTGATTAAATGTCGTTTCATTAGCCAAAGTTTCCACATAATTTATATACATTTTAATCAATTCTCTGTAATTTGAAATAAACATGCATTAAAATTTCTATATCTCTATATTGTATTCATATGCATATTGCCACAATAGTTGGTTTGAGTTATTTTCGGATTTAAAAAGTACTTCTACTTGGAGCGCTATCTACCTTCCTTTCAACGACCAGACGCGCTTTTTTGGGTATAATGGGTTTCTACAACCAGCAGTTATTCTGCATATTATTTCAAAACCACCTGTTCAGCTACTGGTGTAGTGTACAACTGAGTAGTCTATATAATGCTTGCTCTGAGGAATAATCTTAATATAGATTTAAATTAATTTGTAAATATGCAAAATTTCACAACATAATTATTTATTTAAATGTAAAAAATAATAATCAATTAATATAGGTAAACTCGTCAGGTAATCTTTACTTTTTATACATTTCTGCCTATTTATATTTCACCTGAAGTGTACAAAAAAATAAGAGAAAACGTTAACTCCGGTTGCACCGAAGCTATAATACCCTTCACAAATACGAAAAATTCCTTACAAGAATTTTAATTGGTCAGTTTGAATGGCGGCTATATGCTATGGTGATTCGATTTCTGAATAACTCAACAAAATCCTTGAAGATATCTCGCCAAATGAAAAAGTTTCCCATACAAGCACTTTATTCCAATCGTTTAGTTTGTATGGCAGCTATATGCTATAGTGGTCCGATATCGGTCGTTCCACCAAATGAGAAGCTTCTTAGTGAGAAAAGCATCGGTGCAAAATTTCAGATCGATATCTCAAAAACTGAGGAACTAGATATGGATGGACATGCAGACGGACATTGCTAAATCGGCTAAGCTTGTCACGCTGATCATTTATATCTATACTTTATAGGGTCTCTTCCGTTTCCTTTTGGGACCCACAAAAATCGTGGCAAACTTACCATAATATACTCTATTCAGGCTATAAATATTCCATGAAAATGGCTTATAGATTTTGTGTTGGAGGTTCAAACAGAGTAGACGCAAGTAGTAAAAAATTATAAAAAGCTATGCATACGAGTATGTTTTGAACTC